CAGAGAAATTTTCGAAGTCGTGAAAATTTCTTTGAAATGGTCACACACGAATTGTCAAACTCTTATTATTACCCATATACTCAGATTGAAAAATTGTCTCTATGTACTAATTGTATATTTCCCTATGGTATATTGTATTTATATCCAGCCCGCATTCCTGGATAAGGTTACTAGTCATAAAATTTTGACCCCCTGTTAAAATATAAATATCTTTTTTCTGAACAATTTGAATTTGGTTCACACTGTTCGCTATCCCAGTCCTTCAGCTATAAGCTCGTATTTCTTTAAAATATGAGGTTCTTCCTGAATCTGTGAAAATTTTTTGAAGTTTCAAAAGGATCCCAAATGAACGAAAACTTTTTTTTTTTTTCAACTTTGACGACAGATTACCTTGAGACATTTCTCGAATTGTCTTATTATCCCTTTTACTTACAGAACGATATCGAATAATTAACTTTTAGGTTTTGCAGTCATAACTTTTTTCCTTCCCAGCCGATTTTTAAAATATCAGGCTCATTTTGAAGATGAAACTTCAGATGAAGAGATATGAAGATCAGAATTGACTCAAGATGAACATTGCACAGTGTGTCTCACTTTTAATGGAAGCATCCCTGTATCTTTCGTATTTGTTTAGTTAGGATTCTGAAAATTGCAGGAACGGTAAATGTATACTGAAAGTACACACTATGACCAAGTGAAGTCATCTTCAGTGATATACACTGCTTGCTTACAGCCATGGAACCACCTACAAAAATGAAATAGGCGAGTTGACTAATTATTTTTATTTCTTGAATAGAATCATATCACTCAAATAACTTTCAATTCCATATATTTTTAGAATTCTTCATTCGATTTCAATGTGCTCTGAGATCAACAATAATGCCACGGTAATTTTCAAACGGCTAAAAATTTATCGCGAGTAAAAACTGACGTCACGATTTTGTAAGTAGAGACAGACCATAGCACAATTGCCATATTATGTTGATATACGATAGGAAATATTATTTTTCTAATTTTGACATGTAATGTGACACTTTTCAAAACTGACGGAAGTTTTGAAACGTCTTACTTTACGTAACCAGTTGCGTAAAGTAAAATTTTACATAACTGGTGATGTAATGTTCATTTCATTCATTCATTTCACACAACAAGAGTCGGCAGAACTCATGTAAAACTGGTCATTATTTTTGTTCATGCGAAATGTTTCGTCAAAATTAGAAAAAATATTGTACGTGACACGTTAGGAAACGCCATTTTGTGTAACTCTGTGATGTTGCGGGATCTCGCTTTGCTCGTCCCGCAAAATCCCATCGTTACACAAAACAACGCGTTTCCTAACTGATTACGTAAATATCTATTATTCAATAATTCATGAATTCTCAATTTTGTATTTTTTATATTCCTAATTAGATATAAAAATCAATTGTCTCAAAATATTCCCTCATCTGCTGTGGCTTATTGTTTATAATGCATTTGAGTTAATATTGATATTATTATATTAATTCACACTAGAGGATATTTGAGGGTAAACGTGGCAACCCGGCGCACGAATTGTGGGCGGTGCCTTGTCAGTTCTCAGCATTCAGCTCATTGTTGCCAAGTCTTCAACATCAACATGATATTTTGTTATACGGCACAAGAGATATACAGACATGCTGGTTGTTCGAAATAGTCGAGAATGATCTATAATATCATGGCTCACTCTTATTATGTTTCATCTCGTGTTTTATCCAACGACAGGACTCTAATCTTTATGATAAATTGATTATAATTTGATGATGGATATGATAGATTATTTTTGCAGTATTGCAGTATCATTGCAAAAAAAAGTTTTTTTCATCTGCCTGCCTCGTCTTCATTGAGATAGCTGATGAATTGATGAATCAGAAAAATATATCGCGTTTCAGTTACGAATGTTGAAAACAATATCCAGACTTTTCATTGATTTATATTCTATGTTGGTCTCTCGATTCAAATTTGAAATTGATCCTTAGTTTTAGATCCGAACAGCACATTGTTTGGCATGCAAGGTCCATAATATAACCTCCGTAATTGAAAATGTGGAAAAACCACTTTTCGGAAAGAAAGCGGATCTGTTGCTATCCAGTTACGGACGATGAAAATATCATTCAGGTATGTCTCAGATTCAACATCCATGTACTTCATCTGATGATATTGATGTTCTGATTCAAATGTACTCGATTTAAATGTAATGTTTAGTTGCAGATCCAAGAAGCAGTGTTTGATACTTGCCACTCAATCGGAGAAAACCATCCAGTAAATACGGACCGAACAGAAGATCCGCAAAGAGAACTGACTAGAGTATATTCTGTATATACAGAATTCAGATCATTATATTCGTACGGAAGGCGATATATTGATCACCTTTCCAGATTCTCAAGCAGACAGATAGACAGATATTCAACTTTATGTCTCTATGGAAACACGACAGGTACCCTTACGAGGGGAGAGTATCAACTCGGCGTTTATAAACCCTCTCTGCAAAGGAGGTAGGCGCATGGTGGGTTAGGTATATACAGTGTTCTTCATTGCAGAGAAAATTGTTGTTTATCTGCCTGCCTCGTCTTCATTGAGATAGTTGATGAATTGATGAATTACAAAAATATATCGCGTTCCAGTTACGAATGTTGAAAACAATATCTAGACTTTTCATACATTTATATATTGTATGTAGGTCTCATGATTCAAATTTGAAATTGATACTTAGTTTCAGATCCGAGCAGCATATTTATTTGGCTTTCGAGGTCCTCAATATAACCCACGTAATTGAAAATGTGAAAGATGCCTACTGGAAGAACCACTATTCGGAAAGAAAGCGGATATGTAGCAATCCAGTTACGGGCAATGAAAATATCATTCAGGTATGTCTCAGATTCAACATCCATGTACTTCATCTGATGAAATTGATGTTCTGATTCAAATGTACTCGATTTAAATGTGATGTTTAGTTGCAGATCCAAGAAGCAGTGTTTGATACTTGCCACTCAATCGGAGAAAACCATCCAGTAAATACGGACCGAACAGAAGATCCGCAAAGAGAACTGACTAGAGTATACTTTACAGAATTCAGATCATTATATTCGTACGGAAGGCGATATATTGATCACCTTTCCAGATTCTCAAGCAGACAGATAGACAGATATTCAACTTTATGTCTCTATGGAAACACGACAGGTACCCTTACGAGGGGAGAGTATCAACTCGGCGTTTATAAACCCTCTCTGCAAAGGAGGTAGGCGCATGGTGGGTTAGGTATATACAGTGTTCTTCATTGCAGAGAAAATTGTTGTTTATCTGCCTGCCTCGTCTTCATTGAGATAGTTGATGAATTGATGAATTACAGAAATATATCGCGTTCCAGTTACGAATGTTGAAAACAATATCTAGACTTTTCATACATTTATATATTGTATGTAGGTCTCATGATTCAAATTTGAAATTGATACTTTTAGTTTCAGATCCGAGCAGCATATTTGTTTGGCTTTCGAGGTCCTCAATATAACCCACGTAATTGAAAATGTGAAAGATGCCTACTGGAAGAACCACTATTCGGAAAGAAAGCGGATATGTAGCAATCCAGTTACGGGCAATGAAAATATCATTCAGGTATGTCTCAGATTCAACATCCATGTACTTCATCTGATGATATTAATTTTCTGATTTAAATGTACTTCGAGCAATATGTGATCGATGTTTAGTTGCAGATCCGAAAAGCAGTGTTTGATACTTGTCACTCAATCGGAGGAAACCACTCAGTCAAGACGAACCGAACAGAAGATCCGCAAAGAGACCTGACCAGAGTATACTCACAAAATTCAGATCATTATATTCGTACGGAAGGCAATATATTGATATCCTTTATTCCAGATTCTCAAGGAAACAGATAAGACAGATATTCACCTTTATGTCTCTATGGAAACACGATAGGTACCCTTACGAGGGGAGAGTATCAACTCGGCGTTTATAAACCCTCTCTGCAAAGGAGGTAGGCGCATGGTGGGTTAGGTATATACAGTGTTCTTCATTGCAGAGAAAATTGTTGTTTATCTGCCTGTCTCGTCTTCATTGAGATAGTTGATGAATTGATGAATTACAAAGATATATCGCGTTCCAGTTATGAATGTTGAAAACAATATCCAGACTCTTCATAGATTCATATTCTATGTAGGTCTGACGATTCAAATTTGAAATTGATACTTCTAGTTTCAGACCTGAGCAGCACATTTGTTTGGCCTTCAAAGTCCTTGATATGACCCAAGACCCAAGTAATTGAACATTAGCGGATATGTAGCAATCTAGTTACGGACGTTGAAAATATTATTCAGGTATGTCTCAGATTCAACATCTATGTATTTCCTTCCTCTAATGATATTTTCTGATTCAAATATACTCCGATTCAAATGTGATAAATATATGGTTTGTGCCCAGAATTGAATAAGGATGTAACTATATAACTGTTTCACAAACGCTTTAGAGTGAGAGAAGACGAGGATCTGTCCGTACCCTTTTAAGATGACTAACGTCAATTTCCATCAAGGAACTCTAGTTTTGATTAAATCGAAAACTAACAAATAACGGTGCAAATAAAGACAACCAGTCAACCGCTTTCAAATATAAGTTCTGTTGATTTTTCATCTTCATCATTATTTGTGAACATTTCTCTGACAGAAGATTCGGAATATTGAAAATTGTATGCAACCGTCAAAGCAATAACCTGTAGCCAAAATTGCCTAAGTAGGCTTGTATAATAAGTATTTTTTCCCAGATGACTGGAATGACAAGTGACACTGACAAAACCCAGATGAGTGAAAAGTGCCATGCCATAAAATGAGGTTATATGTTATGTTATATTATAGGTTAACTAACTTTTATTTAGTATTTTAGTAATTTACGTATTTGTCGATTGAACACGATAATACACATAATGTGTACCCTAGAATTTGACTTTACACATCAAAACTGAATCAAATGAAAATGAAATGGCTGGTCTAATTGCTGTGCATTGTGGTAATACACTTCAAAATTTTTATTCATTTCTCAACTCTACTATAGTTATTTATCTGATTTTTCAGGTGCTGGATCTCACAGTAGCAATCTGCACAATGAATATAAAAGACTCTGTAACAAAGCCTGTCGTAAAGGAGTTCAAGTAATGAAAGAAGGAGGGACAGCTATGGAAGCAATCCAAGCTGCAGTCATAAGTTGGGATTTCCAAAAAATCATAGTTATGTAGTTGCTCATCTTATCCACAGTTTTAGAGAATGATCCCTTGACGAATTGTGGATTTGGTTCAAACCTTACTTTGGAAGGCATGGTAGAAAATGATGCATCAGTTATGGATGGCAAGACACTAGCTTTTGGGGGCTGTGGGGCAGTCAAAAAAATCAAGAACCCTATAGCTTTGGCCTATGATATATGTGTTAAACAGTCTGTAGGACTGCCTTTGGGTCTCATACCTCCTTCTCTACTTGTAGGGAGTGGAGCACTCAAACATGCAAAAAATTCTGGGCTAAAGGTTGTTCCGAACAGTAGTCTTGTTTGTAAAAGAGCTCTGAGGCAGTTCAAAAAGTATAAAGCTTTGTTAGATGTCCATCAGGAAAATTGTGAGAGGTTGGATACTGTTGGTGCTGTATGTATTGATGGAAAAGGAGATGTTGCTGCAGCTTGCAGTTCAGGTCAGTCCTGATAAAAAACCAGTATTTGCTCTAGGTTTTACCATTTTCTTCAAGTTGTACTGTTTCTTCAGCTAAATTATTTCAAACTGGATTTTTTCATTGTCCTGCTAAATAAAATTGTTGGTATTTTCTTACTCTAAATTATCTTCTTTTTGCAAGAAAACACTGTTTATATTCAAAAAATTATAATCTCCAGAAGTTGAGAAAAAATTCCAACACTATACTCCCTCCTATACTTCCTAAGTACATAGGAAATAAAATATTTGAACACACATACCAGTTTCCTGTACCTAAATTGTTTCCTAATCTAGAATGGATCAGACTGATGCTCGAAAAACACCTCTCAATACCACCTGTAGATTTTATTGTTGTAAGTAATGGTTTGCAAAAATTGTCTTCATTGTCCAGCCAATTGTTGGTTTTAGTGGGTTTCACTAGATTGATGGAGTTTTTCTTGAATTTTGGCCAAATAGAAAAGCGGCTTGGATTATGTAGTTAATGTCATAGGGATTTTGCCATTTTTTATACAAATTGAATGCAATTCTTAATGGGATTATATTGTGATAAATCCAAAGTATAAAAATGTGTATTCTCATGCCTTCAATCTATCAATCTATCTATTCAATCTGAATCTACTTCATGATTTTCACCAGAAGATCATGCCTAAGTACACAAATTCAGAAGATCTCAAATAATTTGAATTTATTCTCTCCATAAAACTCACTTTCCTAAAAAAAAAATTTGACCAGCCTCATAACCTACATAATCTTAAGTTATTAATGAATGTTGATACTGATAAATATCTTGCATTGATTTGATGTTTATTAACTCTACATTGGAACTTTATATCTCATGTGCCCTTTCATTTACAATATCATGATTATCCCATGACAAAGAAGTCATCCTTAATCATAGGTCATTGAGTAGGTCATCAGTCAAACATCAATCAAGATAAAGTTATTAGTTCTGAATTATTATTATTTTCACTGATAGGTGGTTTGATCCTGAAAAAACCAGGTCGAGTGGGTCAAGCAGCACTTTATGCTAGTGGTACATGGGCTGATAGTCTGGATAAATCAACTGAACCATCTGTAGCAGTTTGCACTACAGGTACTAATTTTTTTTCCTGAAGTTTATTTGATGCAAATTTGTACTGGTTTTTCTCTTTAAATATGGATTTAGGGTTCATGTAAATTATAAATTGAGAATGTACCTCTGAAAAAAAGTACCCAGCTTATAGGTAAAATGTGTTTTTTTCCCTTAGTTTTTATATTTCTGTGGAACTCAAATTCAATTTTCAGAATATTCAACCCACTCTTAGCTGACTAAAAATTTGCAAAAAATCATGAATAATTCTCGTTTTTTCTATTTTAATTTTTCTCACCTAAATCAAGTTGAAAATAGTAGGCAATATAAGATGTTGATTATATAATCACTAAACACCCCTACTTTGATGATTTTGATTTGTCAACTGTTCATGGTATTTTTGCTCATTTGAAGCTATGTACCGAGTTTGAAATCATCTTATGGAATACCAAAGTTTAGGGAATAAATATAAATTTTGAACTAATGTCCTGCTAATCTAACCCTACAAATGATGACCTGAACAGATTCAACATATTTCAACTTTTCTAACCTAATCATCAAATCAAAAATTGTTTTTATCAAAAGGACACATTTTTCATTGTAACAAATTGAGTTATGTACAACACCGTTTCTTGGGTAGTAATTTTAAAGTTTACAAGTTAATGTTTGCCGTAGGGATGATCAATTCCCATCAACTTATAATTGATTTCATTAAAAAAAGGAATTTATGACAGGGTGCGGAGAATACCTAATTCAGACCCACCTTGCCAAAGAACTGGCAGAAGACCTCAAATTCAACCCCAATGCCATGGCTTTTCACAAGGCCATGGGTGTGAAATTTCTGAAATCAAAGTTTCTCAGGAATGTCAATAGAAAATTGGGGGGTGCTTTGGTGGTCCACAGGGACAACAAGAGTGGGGAGGTTTCTGTGCTGTGGGGACACACTACTGATAGTATGGGGGTCGGCTATATGCAGACTAAGGATTCTAAACCGAAGGTTAGTGGAAATTATTAGAAAACAAAACTAAAACTCATTTTTTCATCAATATACAGGTTATTTCTGTCCTTGGACCTAACACTCTGACTGTCATGTCAGTCATTTTTGACCCACAGCTTGATCTCGTGCTGAGCCGATGTATTTTCATTGGTTTTAAGGCGTCAGGCCACGCAAAGTTTTTAGAGTAGGGTGCATCTAAGTGATCAGCATATTGCTGCTCAGACATTGTAAAGTTGTTCTGGTGTACAGAAGAGCATAAAAGAATGTCAGTTAAAATCGACCGACGCGGCGTGACATGGCAATTTTTTTTTGCTATATAAGCAAAAGGATAAAACACAGAAAGCTAGAAAATGTGTTTAATTTGTTACAAAAATCTCTGAAACAATACGTACAAGAAAGGGGACTAAAAATGAGGTGAAGAGAGTGCGGATGCATTGAGAAGGCCGTCAAGAGATGATCATGTGAAAACCCATTCCAACAATAATTAGATTCAGATAATGTTCATGAGTTTTCCACATTTTATACAATGAACGTTTTTGGGGAATTATTGTAGCTATAAATTTCAAAGTGAGCCACAAAAAAAATCACATACGTTCATTTGAGCGCCGCGAATTCAGATCTAAGAGAGATTTGAATACATCGTCGGTCGTTTTCGCATGACACGGCTCGAACTGAAACTTCTGCTGTCTGTTAAAAATCACCTGCCAAGCACCGTTTTTTATAAGTCACCGTCGGTCACATATGACTGACAAAGCCTGTAATAGAAAGAGAAAAACAGGGTCCCGGCAGCCAGAGTGGTAATAACAAAAGATAGACACAGTGATACATTCATAAATGATGAAAAAGTTTATGCCAACAACCCTAAGCTCAGGGATATATGGGATCACTCTATGAAATTATTGCCAGAAATTTGTTATAATATAAAGATATAATAAATAACAATGTATTTCTGTTGGATAATACCATTTCTTTTGGGTATTATGACATATTTCTGTTTGCAAATCAGGGGAACACATAGGAAAATTTATATTTGATTTCTACAATGAATATTTTTGTTCACTAGTTAAAACTACATAACAATGAAATTAGTCTGGAAAATAATGTGACTCAATCAAAATTAAGACTAGATTTGTTAGCTAGGCAGTTTAACTTTTCAGCCTGTACTGATGTACTCTGCTTTGCTTGCCCATTTTAATGCTTTTAAATGATTTTTTTTTAATAAAAAGTTGATATCAGATTCTTATTATAGACTCTATGCTAAAAATTGAATAGATATGATGCTACCTGTATATTTCAATAATACTGAGCTATTTTTTCTTTTAGAGTTTCATTTGTGAGTTGCCAGGATATGCTGTACCTGGTGAGTCTATTAATGTTGGTGGAGCTCATTTCTTTTCTGACGAAAATCCCTCAATAATAACTAATTGATAATGATTTGTACTAATTTCTAATTAATGCAGAATAAAAATATTTGGCATTTACACTTGAACATTCTAGTGACATTTTATATCTCATTTGTTATGTCACATTCAAAAGAATCCGATCCGATCATATAGCTACTTACATCTGTTATATTTTATATTCGATATTTTTTTTCCAAAGTAACATCATAGTTTTCCTCTTATCCTAAAGTGTGTTTAATTAAAATCTTCTTCGAAACCATACAGGGTGTAACTAGATTGATGGCTAAAATTATTAGCTCATTTTGAGAAGAAAATAACAAAATTTCTTTTCTCATCATCGCCTAAAATTCGACATGCATCACCATGTGGTAGTGTGTCGGTGAAATGTATTTTTGCCTAATTTTAATCAATTAATTGAATTAACCAAAATGGTCTTTAATTTTTTACGAGAAAACGATGTTTGGGATGAAAAAAATGCAAGAGGTCAAAATGTTGCAAAATAAATTATTCTTATTGTTGGAAAAAGCAGAGGGGCGTACCATATTTTTGTAAAAAAATCTCCTGCATCAAAAAATGCATATTATAGCCCCAAAGTTAAGAGGTTTAAGGGATATTTTCATATGAATTTTTCTTCTAAAAATTAGCTAAGAAACCATATCCCGTACTTATTACATTACATATTAAATTACACCCTGTATAGGAAACACTTTTTTGTCATTTTACATCAAAAATAATTTTTTAAATTAGTTTCATATTTTCTTTTAATTCAATTTCATAATGTTCGCTTTTGAACAACACATAATGACGATCAGTAACTGTTAAATAAGACCTTTTTCTGATATGGCAGTAACTTTTACAGTATTTTTATTCATATTTTCACAATTCCATATAACATTCATACACAATACTGCTAAATAGATATAGTACATGGCAAAACACAATTCTTGAACATTGAAAGAAACTCTGTGTCTTCTAGTAGAGCAGACAATACAGTAAAACATATATTTTCTTTTCTCAGTGAATACCCTTGAAAAATATCAACCCCAAACTCGTACTGTTTGGTCCCAACTGCATGTAGCAACTGCCAATCCATTGCTTGCTACTGAAAGTGAGGTTACACGGTTTTCATGCCCTGATAAAGTACCTGTAAAATAGATTGAAGTTAAGAATGAATGATTTAGTGAACAAATCAAATATACATATTATATCAGACAATCTTACGTAAAACCGAATCATTTCTCAAATCCAATCAAGCACTGAATTGAATCATTGAATTTTTATATAGTTTTTTTGGCATTTAATCTCATTGTCTCTTTAAATAAACATATTAGTATCACTTCAGTACACCTGTAATGCCTGTGTAGTATTGCCTCAAAATGACTATGAGAAACCTTAGAAAAATATGTAAGTTCTTCATGTTTTTCTAATGAAGCTTTCTGCTGCTGGATGGTTCTGTTGAATTTGGTCAAGCTTCAGAGACAAGAATTCGAAGGGCTCTTCATAGAGTGAATCATTTTGTGATAAATGAAGACAACAGATATAGATATAAATCTTCTGATTTGTCATTCATACAGCTATTTTGAACTAATTCTAATATTTTTACTTATAGAGATGAATAATCCCGAAAATCAAGAGACATGAATACTCAACCTCTTCGATTAATATACATATAGACAATGCTCAAATCACTGAACTTCTGGATAAATACGATTTTTCTAACCATCGCACAAACTTATTCATGATGTGATTTTGTCCTACCATTATGTTGATTCTTCAATATATCCCACATATGAACATTATTGTCATCAGATCCACACAGAAGTATCCTTCCACTAATTGACAATGCACAGGACGTGAACGCACTATTGGGAGATGGTGGTTTGAAAGTTGCCAATTCCTGGTCACTTCTTATATCGAAAAGTCTTGCAGACTTATCTTCTGAACCAGTTGCAAAACAATAACCACTTGGATGATACTGAAAGATATCAATTTATAGGTTATTCAGTACTTTGTTATGTCCACATACATGGAAACATTCATCAAAATCGCATGAGGTGTTTTCTTGAAAGTATACGGGGTGGGGTGTATCCTGAGAAGTCTATGGAGATTCACTACTCGTCGTTTTGTTTGTTTTATTTTGATTACATAAATCTTCAGTAACAACATTCGATTTTTTCTTGAATTGATACATCCTGTATAATTTACTGCATTATAATAACGAATAGTCTATTTACCCCAACCTGTTCATGTATGATGTATATTTCTATTTCAATAATCATTGTCACTTACACAAACAGAATTGACATCTGCTTCGTGTCCGAAAAACGTCTGTTTTGGCTTTTCTTCTCGCATATCCCATAACCGACAAGTTTTATCAACACTCCCAGTCACAAATGTATTGCCATCCGGAGCTAAACTAATTGAAACTACGTCGCCATTGTGAGCTATAAAATCGGAAGTTTTTCTGCCACTCTCCAAGTCCCATTTACAACTGAAATAAGACACCTATTATCATTGGTATAGAACAAAACTTGTGATTCCCTTGGTTTGCAGTCAAAGTAAAAGTGCCCTTGTTACTGTTCAGATTGTCGTCCATATTGTGATACATGTTGAGGAGTGATCCGTTTTTCCGAAAAATTCCAAGTACCTATAAGGTAAAAATTGTGGAGTATCATTCAGAAATATTAATTTTTTTATGTAGTGAACATTCTATTACACATGTTTTATTCCCACTTAACGGAAGCCATGCTTCAACAAAACCTCCGTTTCCGGTTCCTGATGAAAAACCAATAAAGACTCGAAAGCTTGAAGATATTGCAATTTAGTTTACTTTGACTGTAAACTATAGTGTAAACCCAAAGGAATTCACAAGTTTTGTCCTTAATTAAGCTTAGACAGTCGTAACGCTTCTCCTCTACTTATTGGTATTGTGTTATGTTCTCGATCAGTGTAGTGAAAAAAATTCTCACTCACATTTTCATGTCTCCTGATCCTGTAATGATAGATTTGTCGCTAGTGAAACGGCATGAACTGAGGAAACCATCATATCCTGCTAACTCCCTTACCATTTTGGCAACACCATTAGAATCTCTGTTGTTCAAGTCATATACTGTGCACATATTGTCCATTCCTCCGCAAGCTAAAGCAAAAATGCGTTCGTTTGTGCGTATTTGTGCGTATTTGTATTGTTTCGTCTTGAGGTAGACCAAGATGATCTGGATCAGTAAATATGGGTTATTATAAAATTCTTACGAATTATATTCAATATCTTTGACAGTAGTAGTAGTAGTAGTAGTAGTATTTGTTGTAAGAAGAGATTTCTATTCGGATTTTACACAGAATTGGAACATTCTATTCCAACTTTTATATTTCAATATTTTATTAATCTCTGTGGAACTTCTGTAATATTAAAGAGATTGTGAATTTTTTCATTCCTGTAGCTTTTTCATGCTACTATCAATTGATAATTATTCGCAAAAAATATGATTTTCTTTAGAAAATGAACTCGTCGTATTCGCCTTTCAGAATAAATTATCATTAAAAGTTTTTTTTTCCATATCATGCCAACTTTCTGATAGGCACTATATCTGTTCCATTTGTTAATTAGAAACAATATACTAGGTATAGTATATCCAATATCAATTGCAGAATATGTCGCACTGTGCGGCGTCGGCGTTTTTGAAGTTCCCTCTGAATTGGCGGCACGAGACTGCAATTGTTTTTGGATAAACATATCTACAGTCACTAGATGTTATTATTATTATATTATTATCCAAAAACAAAAACCAAATGACAAGTATTGAATGTCAACAGTAATTCTCAGATGTCAGTTCCGTTATAGTTTTAGTTATATCATAGAGGAGGGTTTGAAATCCGAAATGAGTTGATTCGAATAAAGTCATATCACTTGTTCGTGAGAGATATAATTTCCATATCACTGATACGAATGACTTACTTCTATACATTTCAATTTTCATTTCAAAACTGAGCATAGAGATTGTCAATTCTCAATTTCGAAGGATTTTAATTTTTTTAGTCCTCTCTTTTTGGATGTTCAACAGATATAATTTAATGTTCGACGTGACGAATAGCCAGGAAAGTAGTTGTTTTCTGTTAAATATCCAGAATGATGTTATGTGCAAATTCATATTTTTATCTGAAGGAGAATGCAAATTCTCAACTCTAGAAGATTTAGTTTTCAAATTCATATCGTTTGTGTTCAATAGATATAATTCAATGTTCGTCGTGGCATATAGCCAAGAAAGTAGTTGTTTTCTGTTGAATAAACCGAGAAAGAATTGATATTTTTATCACATAGAGAATGCGAATTCTCAATGTATTTCTTTATATGTATAAACATTTTTTAGTTTTTTTATGTACATGATTTATCTGAGAATATTCCTTTACATTACTCTATATTTACCAACGTAATTTCCCGAATTGGAGAAAGCTATACGCTGTTGTACGGCAATACCACGACCACCTAGAAGATATTGATCTATTAATCAGACAATGACATTTGTTGTCAGCTCTCCGTCTGCAGGATGTAGTAGGCATATTCCAGGAATATGAGGTGCCGTCTGGGACATTACTGTTTCTCTATATTTAGCAACATAATTTCCCGAATTGGAGAAAGCTACGCTCATCACCCACGCTGACCGCAGCGGGATGATCTGCATCTTGTTGCCGGTGTAGGTGTCCCAGACGATGTACGGCAATACTACGGCCGCCTCCACCACTGAAAACCTGCCAGGCATCCCGATCCCGCAGTACAATAAGGTGGAAGATATTGATCTATTAATCAGACAATGACATTTGTTGTCTGCTCTCCGTATAGTAGTCATATTCCAGGAACATGAGGTGCCGTCTGGGACATTACTCTATAGTTATCTTTTCTTGTCGAACCGTGTTCAAGATTAGTTTTGAACCGTTTTCAAGTGTGACGTAGTAATTTATCTCATTCAAGAAAACAGACTATTTTGAAATGGAAGCATTGGAAGCTGTCATGAGTCATGCAGATACATAACACATAACTTGAAAACCGAAATCAATAATTGAATTTTGAAATTGATGAATATCTGTGAGAACTTGAGAAGTGTTAAAGAATGGAATCACTAAAAGTGGAATTTTCAATTGATAATCAGCAGATGAGGCAAGATTTTTGTCTTTCACAAATGCTAAACCATCAGTCCAGAGAAATAGATAATAATCTGGAAATGATTATTCATCTCGAAAATTTCCAGCATCCTCAAGTGGAAAATTATGCACCATACCCTCCTCACACTCCATTTTTTTAACTATAGTCAATTTCTCAAGAATAATATTTATAACCTCAAACGCTCAAATCATTCAACAATCAAACTTTGACGCGTTTTCCCACTGCTCCACTTGTTTTCCTGGATCGAACCGTTCATTTAGAAGTTTTTGAACCGGAATGAACCGTATTACTGTTGACGTCATAACTTGCACAAGAAAATGCTTGATTTCAAATCGTTTTGAACACGGTTTATCAAGAAGAAACAACTTATATATTTACCAACGTAATTTCCCGAATTGGAGAAAGCTACGCTCATCACCCACGCTGACCGCAGCGGGATGATCTGCATCTTGTTGCCGGTGTAGGTGTCCCAGATTATGAGCTTGCCGTCCAAGGAGCCGGTGACGCAGTGGCGGCCGTCTCCGCTGTAATGCACAGAGTTCACCTTGTTCAGGTGGCCCTTCATCTGCTTCTTGGTGCTCAGCTTGACCCGCGGGGCGGCCGCCACCCCTTCCAAGGCCTGCTCGAAGGTGGTGTCCTGTTGTTTCTTTTGTTCCTCCTTGGAAAGGAACATTTTCTCATATAATACCGGAAGTGATAATATTTTACCGGAAATATTCGGCGACGGTTACCACAGCTTATTGTTGCCTAATAATTTCGCGAATAGGACAGAAGTTTTGGAACAATGTCATGAGCGAAATAAAAGCAGCATGCTGGAGTAGGGGTTTGTCAATCGACGGATATTTCCAGGAAAAATGATCGTGTATGACTATTTCATGATTGAGACAATACACGAGCGCCTCGCGTGAATTGCGCTCACTGCATCCATCATACTGGCTTCGAACATAATTGACGTTCTGAATTTCAAAAATTGTATCGCATAAAGACGAGGTTGGTTTGGTTTTTGGTTAATAACTTTTAGTTAACAAAAAATATCGCTGTAATACAGGAGAAGAATAAGAGGGAAAATCATCGATTCTGGTTGGTTCCTGAGAACAAAAGTGGAAAAGTCACTTATAATACCACTAGAGCTTTAATTATTACCGACATTTTCTTGGAGAACACGAATTTTCTAAATATTTGTGTTGGAAAAAACATTTTTGTTGGTTGAATAAAATATATAATGAAACCACTTTAGTTGAATGATATGATACAAATTAATTCAGCTGAAGTTGGTAGAAATATATTTTCTTACAAGGAACGTATCAACTTATTAAATGAATTCGACATAAGCTGAAGTTGAATAGAAATGTCATTTTACCTATAATCGTCCAAAAATGTCCAGTGTTTTTTAATGCTCCTCATTACCCTGAGAGGAGCAAACTTTTTAGGTAATTTTTTCAGTTGCTATGGTAACGATACAAAATACAGGCTTTCTAATGGTCGAAAACCTTAGGTCTGGATAGGGCCAGACTGGCCATGTGACTCTCGGGGCCTCTTTCCTTATGCACCCTTTTCTTTCAGGTATTTTCTACAGCTTTCTACAGATATTTTTAGTTCTACTATGTATGAAGTATTTCATCAACAACTGACAACATGCGTCGTAAAAAAGGAATAATATTGAGGAAGTATACAAATTTTCAAAAAAAAAATGTGTTCTTGAAACGTTTTCGTGGTGCGTTCATGGGCTCCTATGGTCGATGGTTGTGGAATTTTCTCTTAAATCGCTCAAGAATGCCTACTCCGAAATACGCGAATCTTGTATTTATTTAGTACTTTTCTAAAGAACGAACTTTCACAAATCAAAAACGATCCGGGAAAATTTTTCAAAATCGATCCGTGACGGTTTTTTACATAGGTACCTACGTTTTAGAGACAGTGTAAATAAAATATTGATTGCGATTTCAGGAAATATTGTATGTGTAGAGGGTGGCTGGAATGAGAGCCACATCACTGGGATCTCGTAAGAGGTACAAATACAGGGTCGATTAAATTATTGCAAAGTTATTACGTCATTATATGCCTATGCAGTTTTGAAACGTCCGATTACTTTCAGATACATACGAAAATAAACTCATTTGCTTGAAACATAAATATTGGAATTACATTTTTTTATAAGAGGTCAAATATCTCGTAAACCCAGAGGCTTTTACTGAGATCAAATTGTGATGGTTATCTGAGTATCTAGAGTAGGTATCTATGATCCATATAGTTTACCGGACACCCAGATAGGTATACGATGTGTTGACGAAACATGTTGTATTTTTTAAAAAGCAGGAATAGTATAGAGTACTTTCCACATTTCGATTTTTTCTGGGATTCGACTATACAGGGTGTTCCTCAAAGAGATGTTAATATTTAAGGGGGCGATTCTCTGACTCATTTTGCGAAAAAACTTATTATGAACTTATGTCCTAGAAGAGTCTTAACTTTTCAGATGATAATGTTTTGTAAAAATACATTTTTTATTTATAACAGATATAATGTAGACATTTTTATGAAATTTGGTACTTGTCTTCTTTGCATCAAGGTGCATTCTCTGATGTACACAAATTTTCATCTCTGCCAGTGGCGCCGTTAGGGGGATATTATTGTTTATATTTTACCTATAAAAGTGAGCAACAAAGGAAAATTTCCAAATTTCATACAATGCTATGGAAGGTCATTCAATTCTGTACAAAGAAGATCTTCATTCTGGATAGGACGCTCCGTTCTCGAGAAAAAAATTAATAAACGAGACAAGACCATCAAATCTTGATGTAAATGCTACGCTCTGAGTACCTCCACTCCATTCAGGACGTCCATCACCTACTGGATAATCACAGTAGCTAACATTATTGAATTTTTGCACCGTTTCAGTCATACATACCTTTATAGCATTTGAATTGAATTTTGCCATTTTGATCACGAAAAGCTATACATATTTTCAACTTTGATACCTTGTATCTCGAAAAAAAAGATAGGACTTTTTTCCTTGAAATAGGTGCAAGAATCGCCCCCTGTTCATTAAGGAACATCCTGTTTAGTATCAACAGTGATTAGTAGTATCCTACTAATACTTTACACTATCCATTCCTCAAACTGTGCTTTACGTGACCTCACGACCTGTTGTTTTTTGATCCTCAATGTATCACGTACTATTCACAATGTCTAGGAAGTACTTTGATCAAGCATTCAATAGCATTATTTTATCCCAAAACAACAAAGAATTGTTACCTGTAGCTTTTTGTATAGGTCTTCTAGCTCCTTCCTCAAAGCAAGCGTTTCTGGATCGGCTTTTGGCGGCATGATCCTGAATTATTTCGAAAAATTTCTTCTGGAAACAATCACAAACGGATCGACATACTCGTAAGTCACATCGTAAAATGAAAAGTAGTTGTAATCCCTTTAGCTCTAATCTAATAAGACGTATATAAAGACTCCGTAAAAGTGCATGTTTTAACCCAATTTATTGAGGATCGATTTCGATTTGATTGAAGTTTCTTTTATATATACTTTTTGTATAAGAGTGGATTGATGTTACATCATGTGCTGATATTGTATACAAAATGCTTAGGGAGGGTCAATTTCTTATAATAACGATATTTTTTCACATCACGAAGATATTTATGATGTATTTATAACTGCTCAATGTGAACCTTTGAAAATGGCATGATCCTTAGTATTTTAGAACCCCATGACATCCATATCATCTGATGACATTTTTTATAATTATTATAAAAAATGTTCTTGATTTATTTTGGAATTTCAGAAATATACTGAGCTTTGAAATAAAAGAAAGTTACTATTTATTTGCATGTGTATTCTTTCCGATTTTAACAAGATCAAGATGATAATCGTGATAGGGAAGGTAACGAATGTATTACCTATATCTATATGTATCAAACGTTTCGACCATCATTTTATAATTATCAATTTTCTGTCTTACAGTTTATTAAAGATAATAAAAAGGCCTGTAAAAAATCTTCTAGACTCATACACAGCAAGCATTTCCTGCATTACAAAAAATAATTTTGGAAAAGTGCACTTAAAAATTGATTGAAAAAATTAATTCAACTTCGACCCCCTGTAGCTCCGCTTCTGATCGGGATCGGACTCATGTTTACATGAACTTCTTTGATAGAAATGATTAAATATATCACCAATTTCAGTTGGTGCTTTTAAATCTGAATCACCCTGTGTATATGGTTGTTCCACCAAAAACAACGACGTCTTCACTCTGGATTTGAGTTCGATGCGTTATCATTCCCGAATAAAAAATGTTTCTTATTTGTGTTCATAAATCTTCCGTTCACTGATGTTTGATTACTCATTAATTTCAACATTTCAATAATTGTCATGTAATAATTTATCCCCGATAATATTGACCCTTGGATTTTCTGTATATTATGTAATGTATATGCGCGATAAAAAAAATGAATCCAAAAAATATTCGCTAGAGATCCTTACATTAGAAATAATATGAACATTCTTTTCTGAATATAGGTAGCATAATAATCAATCATTGATCGAATTGAAACGGCTAATCGTATGATGATAGTATGTGAAACATTATACGTTCTTAATACAGGACGTTCTATAATATAATATAATATGTCTACTCTTCGTTTATCATAGGTACGGGTTGTTGAAGTTTAAAATGCAGATTTATATTTTTCGATAATTACTATAAAATCACTTCTATAATGTTGTCAATATCTAGAGGAAAATTAATTATATAGTAATAGCAGGTATTATTGTTGCAGCTATCACGCTTCAGTGGAATCGTTGTTATTGCATGTGGGGTGATACTGTGTGTTTTCAAATTGGTATGAGTGCTGATAAAAATCTCCCTTTGATTGATTTTACCCAAAATGTTGATGTAGGTGCACTCAAAACGTGTTTTAGATTATAATGAGTTGGTGTAGTTTTTAAATTTCGAGAATTTGGCAGTCAGCCCATTGCCCAACCAGAAAGAATACCTATATATCTTCATGGAAACTGCTTAATAATGGCTTAATATGTACCATGGCGCATCATAAAAATATAAATATAGTTCAAAGTTCAACATCCTCTATCTCATATAGGTACGTTGATGGATTCTAATATATCATATCCTTTTATTATTTATTCACAGCCGTTCTACGCAAAATAAGCGGATAATTGTACAAAATTATGATTCTGATTCTTACCTGGATAAATTCAAAATAATATTGATATATATCTATACCTTCCACTTATGCTCTATCGGTTTAGATCACTGTACTTACATAATATGCGTATTTGATTGATGTAACTTTCTGTTTTGATGATTCCCATCTACCTTCATGTTCATTATTATTACTGAAAATAGTTCTGATAAAAATATCGACATTATAATAATGATATGTGCAATATATTGATAAAGGCTCCTATATGTAGAAGAACAAACTGATAAAGAGGAACTAGATACATATACTGACATTTTTTACATTCAGTAGTTATTTATAAATATGTATAGAAACTTCCATCCCAAAAAAATTGTAATTTTTCAAAATTTGTACAATAAAAAATATCAGTGATGTATTCAATGATCATGCATCAATTACTAATACATAATGATCGTTGCATTCGTTGCATAAAATTCTATCATTTTACGAGTCTCTATCACCTTTCAGATAATTATAATGTACAAAAATATGGACCACCCTGTATAGGAACATTATTGAAAATATTTTCTTATGTTCGGCGCATTTGAAAGAAAAAATGCTTTATATTGAATAAAAATACAGAGTGTATAATAATCCGACGGTGATTACTTTTTGAGTAGTTTCTGTTTGTATGTATAACAATATCAATTGGTTACTATGGAAATGGAAATAATTCAAAATTTTTGATTGGTGGAACTACTATATGTACTTATATCCACGTATATTTGAAATTATACAAGGTGTATATAGCTTAATAACTCAAACGTTATGAATGGTTCGAAACCATGCGAAGAAAATAATCTCAGAACATGAAGAAAAAATTGATAGATATAAAGAAATACATTGAGAATTCGAGAATGCGAATCTAATGAAAATATTAATTATTTATCGGAATATTTAACAGAAATCAGCTAGGTACTTTCATCAATACTTGTACACCCAATCAAGGGGTTCAACTTGAACGATGGAAATTTGTTATTTTTACAGATCTCTAATCACAGATTCGTGGTTGGGTTTTCTCAATTCAGAATTTCTTTGCACGCCCTGTATGAAGAATATCATCAATATTTGTCATACATCTAAAAAAAAATGCTTTCCCATTAGGTATCTAAGGAGTAATTTCAATTACTTTTTACACAAGTAGTTAATCGAAGTTGCACAACTTTTTGTTTTACCTACTCGTGTTGGCTTCGATTCTATCGATATCGTCGATATTTACTAGCTGTTTGCTTTCCACTTTCAACTCACTGTAACCGCGGGAGAAAAAGTACGCACGTTATAGCACAACAAAAGGAAAATGTTCCTAATCAATTTTTTGGTTGAATGATTTCTTCGGGTATCCAAACTTTTACTTGGACAATGAATTATTGGATCAGTTGTTACGTTTGTTTCTTCCAATAAAGATATAACGGAATAATGCTGAAAAGTAGTAGTGAATTTGGATTGTTAATAGCGTGTTTTTTATTGATTTTTTCTATATTTACGAAAGCAGGTAAACATTATTATTACCTATACTCATCACAGTATATATAGTTTTATGATAATAGATGATCGCGCATGAACAAAAGATATCACATATATAATTATGTAATATAATTGACTATATAACTTACTTCAAAAATCACGTCTGAGTGAAGTATACATGAGGGCAAATTATCACATCGAAATGATGTTATATCTAAAGAGGACGACGTCATTTTCACGTCGCGCAAATGACCAAAATTGAATGGAAAAGGAAAACTTATGAAAACAGCTAATTCTCTCATTTGGTAAGACGTATATATAGTATATCTATTTCATTACGAGTTTGGAAAAATCATTTCTGGACGTGTAATGAACGATATTTTTTATTACACTTCGTTGAAAATGAAAATATAATAATTAAATATTACATAAACAAGACAAAAGAATATTTTTATTTTCACTATTGTGAAAAATTACCTGGATTCTACTGGTAATAAATTCGCGGTCGCTTATTGTGCCTCTTGCTATTGCTATTTTCCAAGTTTTTCCGTGCGCTGTTTCCGTGCGATAGCCCAACTTACAATATTACTAAAGTAGATGAAAATAAGGTGATTTCAAAGAAGTATAATAAATAAAGGATGTACGAACTTTATGGGGAAATCAATATGACTGAAACACACAATTATTGTAGGTCGTATTGCAGATATGAATGTCGATGTCGTTATATCGCAGGGTGATTCAAAATTTGATGTAAATATTCTAACGTGTTGTTGGGATCAAAATAAGACTTGTTTTATATTTATCCTTATTACTCTGAAATTATTTATTATCCCCAAAGTTAGATCCCTCTATAAAACTTGAAAATTATTTCGCATATAGGTAGGTAATTATAATCATTGATACATTATTATTTTCAGAAGACTCACAATGTTCAAATTTGAGAGGTGAAATTGAATGTGGAGAGGCGAATCAAAATAATATACTTTCGTATTTTCATAATAATGAAGGTGAGTTCTTAATACACAAATATTTGGGAGGAAGCAATATCATTGATAAAAAAATCTGTCCACATTCATAATTTCATAATGGGTCTGTTTCAGTGAAAAATTGTATTTATTTATTTAGATGAAATAATCCAAACTATAGTTGCTGCTCATATATGGGCCGTGTGGCGGGCTCAGCTACGGAATAGCGCGTAATAAAACAGTGCGTGACAAAACAGCGCGTTTCAAAACAGCGCGTTTCAAAACAGCGCTGTGACAGAACAGAGCGTAAAAAAATAGCGCGTTCTGAAATAGTGCAAATTCCAAGATGATTAGATATGAAAAGCATATTCAATTAAACTCTTTATACACTCACCGGCAAAAAAACCGGCCACCAAAAAATTTTCCCAAATTGTTCATGCTGTAACTTTTTAATCCTTGTCCGATTTTTGTGAAATTTTGAAAAGATTGTAGATTCATGTTCCGGAATGTTTTAGCCTGAACATTAGTTTCCATGGAAAGCTGCTATGATGACTTGATCATGCATTGTATAGAGAAAAACAAAAGTAACAATTTCACCCTTTACTTATTATAATGCCCTGTGGCAAAATTGAGTGGTTGAACTTGGCTTCATTATACCTCGAATTGAAGTGTGATCCCTTCTTAACACAATTTTGTTTTATTCATGAAAATATTTTATTTTTGAGAAAAGATACGAGTATTTTGAGAAAGTATGACAATTTTTCAAGTTTTATTAACAATAATCGGAACCTACATACACTCAGAGCATTGAATAACAACTCAAAAAGAATTAATTTAATTTATTTCTACCTCATTTTCTTAGCACTTACCATAAAAAACCTTTATTGCAAAAAACAAACAAAAAGCAGACCTATATAATATAGTCAATAGCGAGTATGCCCTCCTCGAGCTCGAATTACAGCATACAACCGCCTTGGCATCGAGTAGATCAAATTTCTCAAGTATAGTCTTGAATAAAGTCACTGGATGGTATTAGTGAGATAAATCTCAACATTCAAAATCACTAACAGTTGTCATTCCTGTGTCCGGATTCTTATCTAACAATATCATCCAGTGACTGTAGTCTTGAAGAATTGCTTGAATTTCTTCTTGAAAGGCGAATCCTAGCTCTTGTAGTGTCTATGACATGACCGAACACCGAACGAAGGCGAATGAGCCTCTGGAGTTTATCCCTGCTCTATAAGTCTATAGGGTCTGAATTATTGTTGTTTCCACTCTTACCTAAAACACTTGTATCTTCTCTCAAAAAGAAGATATTGACGTAAATCAAGAACCATTGTGTTGGGAAGGGGCGAAAAAGGATCACATTTCAATTCAAGAGATGATGAAGCAGAAGGTTGGAGAAGGGTTTGGAATTATTGTTAATAAAAATAAAAAGAACCCATACTCTCTTAAAACACTTGCATCTCCTCTTAAAAAGTGGTTATCGATGTGAATTAAAAACCATTATGTTAAGAATAAGGGACCACATCTCAATCCACAACAAAATGAGCTCAAGTTTAACCTCTCGCCTTAGCCACAAGGCGTTAGGAAGTTGAGGGTGTGAAAGAGTAATAACTTTCGTTTTATATCCTATATAATGATTAATGATCAAGTTATCAGCTTCCGAATATTTCGAATAAACATGCATGACTATACGATTTGGTCGAAATTTCACAAAAATCGGACAAGAATTAAAAAAATTACAGGGCGAATAATTTGGATTAATTTTTGCCGGTGAGTGAAAATTGGACTATAACGAACAGTCTTTGTACATAAAAATCGAATAACCAAATCGTAGGCAATATATAGACTGCAAGTAATTTTTTTCGGTCGAAGCGTGTGATGAAATTGTCAGCCTGATTCTGTCCTTTTTTCAGATGATTAATCAATTTATAATGCGGTGGAAAGAATTGTACCAAAAGAGCTTCCAAAGAGATATTTGTTCTAGACAAATTCTTTTGTATGCGTTCAAATGAATTCCAAATAGGAACTGGAAAACAAGCTCTCCATTTTATTCGTTTTCTTCCCAAGTAATTTTTCCACGGATTACAGACAATGTAAGATGTAAAACATTTGAGCATTTGGAATAACAACGGAAATGAGCGCTATTTTGTTATACAGTGCTATTTTTTACCGCTCTGTTTTGTAACGCGCTGTTGTGTTCGCCATGTTTTGTCACGCGCCTTTTTGTTACGCGCTATTCCGTTGTAGGAGCCCGTGTGGGGTTTATTCGATTATTGTGTACTCAAGCCCACTGTATGAATGAAGCCGAGACCATCATACTGACCTGCCTCGGCCCTCGTTTGCTACGCCACTGGAATGCTTGCGTACTGGCGCGAGGCGAGAAGCTCATCGTGAACACAGAACCACCACGTGTTAGTTCTGTGATCGTGGACAGAACTTGATTTTCTGTTTATTTGTCAGAAGTCTTTTGTCCTGTGACTCTCTTTTGATAAGTGTTAAGTTCGTTGTCGTTCCGTGTTCTGCGTCCGTGTTGACAAGTGTTTGTAGGTGCTGGGTTATGTGCCATGTTTTTCTAATTTTTGCCATTTTTTATAAATAAATTTACGATATTATTGACTTTACAAATTGTAGGAATAAGAACTTATAATGAAAATACTACTAGTCTTAGTTTTTTTAATTGTATTTAATTCTTGTGCCATCTCAAAGGAGACCAATGGTAAGTTGAAGCAGTTTTGAATCTCAAAATCTTCAATTTTTTTAATACGCGCGAATACGCATCTTTTAACGCACAAAAAATATATAATATTTTGAATTTTCTACTCATTGAAATATTTTGCTTTCAATAATTTGCATGGTATGTAATATGCATGATATTAGAATAGGCTGTGGTATTATTGGCGTAAGTTTTGTATTTTTTTGTAGTGATTATATTTTTCTAAGTATTTAGGCCAAGAGAAGATTAGGTCTCTGTTCAAGCCATTTCAGGCCTATCAGTTTAATGATAAACAATTGACAACAATTTCATTAATCAGAGGAAGTGACGGGAGTCGAGAAATTATTCTGCTTTAATCATTAGTTATTTATATTTGGGTTATAGGCCTGGTGATGTAATTTGTAAACACATTAAACACATGTGTGTATGTTCACATATTTTGTATGTCTATCGAACTGAGATATATCCTCCACAGATAATATGAAAAAAAAAGTAAATTGCAAGACTAGATTACTTTCATCTTACTCAGTACTCTATAGATTACTAGATATACAGGGTGTTTTAAAAATTGTGACCTCCTTGCTATAGGGTAGGTAGAACTTTTCAAAATAAGTTGGGTTTGCTCAGTAAAAAAATGTCTTGAAGGGCATCCGTTATTCAGAATACCTACACAATAATGAAAAAAATATTTTTTCAAAAATTCTTTACGATTATGACGAAACTATACTTACAACTTTGTAATGATTTTTTCGAGGATTTTTTGTATGGATGGGTTGTGGAATAATAAGCTGACACATCCCATGATTTTGTTTTTATATTTTCCTCTCATAGGGGGCTCTAGTTACACAGTTCCTACCAAGTAATTTCAAAAATAACTTTTTTGATGTTTTTCAACCCAAATTTTATGTAAACCTGAACATCAAAAAGGTACTCATGATAAACCTCCTACTGTTTTCGGAATATTTTGATCTGAAAATGATGAAGTGATAACTGTTGCTGATATAAAGCTAAGTATTATGAAAAACTATTACCTACCCATTTATTGAAAACCCAAAACAACAATAGATTCCTAATGCTGCACTTGGATCATGGATCACACAGTTTGGTTGTTGTTGTTGTATCTTAAGGAAAATGCTATACTACAGAGGTAAATCCTCGGGTAAATCACTCGATCCCCTCGTGATAACATCGACATAATTAATACACCTCAAAATCAAAATAATTGTGCAGCTTCATGTTCAACTTGAAATAAGAGTTGATAAATTGGAGAATCGAAAAATGGTGATGAAATGGCCATTGGCGTAGAATTTGGGAAGGATCAACCACTCACCTGCTCCTGTCGTACGCCTCTGGTAGTGACCAGAAATGTTTATTTCACAAAATTTAGTAAGGTGTATAGTATCTACACTTCCCGCCAAATATGACAATGATACGTCAATTAGTTTCAAAGTACTGGGCACAAATAATTTCTGAGTTTTCAAGCGAAACACCCTGTAACTCTGACAGGAGACTCATTTTATCTAGACAGGTTGTGTTAAATATTCATAATTTGAGCTTAAGATTTTATAGTTAAAATATTTCCAATTAGTAATGACCCACCCTGTATATTGTAGTTAAAATTAGGTATGGTGTAACTTGAAACCATAGCATACTGTAACTAAGAGCACTGCTGCTCTGAATTTTGTTTTCCAAAAGGCTCGAAAAAAATAACTGCAAAATATTTTGTATCATGGCTATCCATGGCACACTTGGCAAATGTGAATAAATTAATATCCAGTATTTTCTTTAGTAATTTCAAACTCATTTTCTCATTTTCAAAAAATGGTTGACATTTGAAAAATGATAGTATTCACGGAAATATAATACTGTCAACTTGTCTTTTTCCTATCTATCAAATTAGTAACTAAAACTTTGTGATTATAATTTTCCGTAGATAAGTATACGTCCGATCGTGAGCGTAACATTTTCTGAAAATGTCATATTCTGATCCAGAATAGTCTCAGAAATTGAAAAATGTTATAATATACAGGGTGTAGCATTTAAAAATTCAAAACCGGAGTCATTTACGGTGAAATCAGAAGTGGCCAGGAAGTGAAAAATATGCGAAAACTTTCCTCTTCACATACTGTATACCCATATCAAATTTAATTTCGATAGATTCTATGACACCCAGTATACAGGCTGATTCACAGTGGATGGCACATTAGACGTTTCTGGAGAACGCAACGTAGGATTAACCTGAAAATTTGATTTCTTGGATATTTAGTTGTGTTCTATTGACCTAAAATATTCTCAACACTGCTACGTTGCCGCTTATATTGAAAAGTAGCAATATTTCTGATTTTTTGAATGGGACACCCTATATATTATTCCAATTCCAGTTTCTTCCTAAAGAGCTGACTTCATCGATCTATTACACTTGGGGTCTAGCATGAATGATAACAGATATAGGGTGTGAAAAATCGAGATTTTTCAACTTCAGGAATTTCTTGTGTCGAAACTATTCATAATTAGTCAAAACCTTTTTCATGTCCCTATCTCAACTCTTCAGGTACTATCAATTGATATTTAATTGGGACATGGAAACCGTTTTGACCAATTATGAATAGTTTTGACACAAAAAATCTGAATGTTGAAAAATGTCGATTTTTCACACCCTATATCTATGTAATTGTCACTGCTAGAACCCAAGTGTTATAGATCAATGAAATCAGCTCTCTAGGGAGAATCTGAAAATGGAATAATATACAGGGTGTACTATTTAAAAAATCAAAGCTGTTGCTACTTTTCAATACAAGCGGCCACGTCGCAGCGCTGAGAATATGTTAGATCGATAGAGCACAACTCATTATCTGAGGCACCAAATTTTCAGAATAATCCCAAGTTACGTTCTCTTGGAACGTCTAATGTGCCTTCCAGCCTGAATACTACCAGGTGTTTCTCAAAAGTGGCACACCCCTATAATTATTTCGTTTCTACAGATAAACTAACGAAATTTGGTGTGTGAGTATAGTACATAAATTTGCATTATTTGACGTATTAAATTGTTTCCTGTCACTTCCTGTTTGACCCGAAATTACCCTTATTTTCTTATTTCAAATGGGACACCTGGTATATTTCTACATATTTCGATAGAGAATAACATCGTGAGTACAATGACATCCCATTTGCCACTTTTTGCCATTATCATCCTGAAATTTTCATTTTTCAATTTTCAATCTAGAGTGATTATGATACTGGATATTGATTCAAAATATCGATTACGTGGTATCAACGTGTTCCTAAGAAAATACCCTTTTCAGTTATGGTAATGAGCCACCCTTGTTCTATTTGAAAAAATTGAGTCAACATCATAATTACAATATTGTAAATTTTCAATGAACCTGTGGGGCGAATGCAAAGTAAAACTGCATCGAAGGATCGAAGATGTGATTCTCTATCGAAATAATTAAAAACATACCATCCCATTTAAAATAAGAGAATAAGGGTAATTTCCGGTCAATCCGGAAGTGACAGGAAACTATTGAATACCTCAAATAATGCATTTTTCTATCTGTCTAAACAAAGAAGTTATAGGGGTGAGCCACTTTTGAGAAACACCCGGTATGTTGTCACTAGTTGTCACCAAAAGCAGAGCTATGTAAACAATTTTAGCCCGATTGTGTTACGGAAAGTGGGTTGAATTTCAATCACTAGAGACTAGCGGATTTGACCCGAGATTTGACACGAGATTTGACACGAGATTCTACCCATGCATACATAACATACATACATACAAGAATCCGATTGTCATAAAACCATTGAAAATTATCGATCAGTAAAATATGTGTGTTTTTACTTAATCATCTCTTTTTCCATAAAGTACTGTTGTTCTGTTTTTCCTATCAAAAGAAAATGAAAAAAATTAAAAAAATAAATACATATTTCAAGATATTTCGAGAAGTTGCTGGGGACTCTTTAATCTATGTTGCTGATAATCATTATTTATTGAATGATGAAATAGAATTGTCCAGATAATTGTACAACTCGTATGCCTGAATTGCTGTTAGGATCATGAATGCTATTATTAGAGGTTAATGTTGATGGCATATTTCTAATTTTAACTTTATTGGCTATTTCACATAACTCTCATTGAAACACATTTTTTAGTTTCCTGGAATATGAAATGTATTCTGATTCTGCTTATCTTACTTGTTCATATCTCATATTACATGAGTGTATTGTATAGAAAATGCATAATTGAGATTTTGAAAGGTGCACTCATTGTCAGAGGAGAATAAATTACCATGGTCTTTCTATTAGCTAATTATTATCAAATGCGAATGTGAATACACTCGTCGATGTTTATTATGCAATGGTGAACTCAGTACTTTCCTACAAAATTATTCTGTGGGGGTAATTTTGCTACGATTAATAGGGCATTTATTGGTCAAAAACTCAAAATTCGACTCATGTTTGGTCTGAAATATAGCGAATCATGTAGACCTATTGTCAAAAAACATAAAATTCTTACACTACCCTCTATATACATACATTCACCATTCTGTTATTTACGTGAAAAAACACGAATCCAAGTTCATACTTATCCTACAAGGAGTGGTAATTTACCAAAAAACTTGAGACAACACTGCACTCAGATTTTTCAAAAGTCACACTTCACAACAGGTCCGAGGTTGTTTAATTCCTTGCCCTCAGATATAAAGGAAATATCAATTCTTGCAAAATTAAAAAAAAAATAGGATATCTGCTGGGAAGAAGTTTCTATTCTGTGGAGGAATTTCTGGAGATGAAAATCTGAAGTGAGGTGATTTTATTTTTAAAGTGATTAATCAATCATTGTTTTTGACTCTTTTGAATGTTAGACCCATTGTATCTTTATGTCATTGTTTTAACTTTTATGTGTTTGTTCTGTTTATAATAATTTTATATTTTATACAACTTCTTTGACGATGCCTATTTCATTATTTGTATGATCAATTCAATGAATAAATACATTATTATTATTATTATTAGTATTATTATTATCATTATTATTATATTATTATTATTATATTATTATTATATTTTTATTATCATTATAAAATGAAAACTTGTGTGCATATTATTTTTCAGATGTTCTCGTTTACACTGTAGCAACTGAAGAAACAAATGGATTTCAACGTTACATGAGCTCAGCTAAAGAGTTCAACATCCAACCTAAAGTTTTGGGCATTGGTACTCAATGGCAAGGCGGAAATATCAAAACTTCCCCTGCAGGGGGTTGGAAAATAAACCTCTTAAAAAAGGAGATAAAGCTCCATGAAGAGGAAAAGGACAAACTGGTACTTTTCACTGATGGTTATGATGTGATATTTTTGGACAAGCTCAATGAGATAGTGAAAAAATTTGAGAAAACTGGAGCCAAAGTCTTGTTTAGTGCAGAGCCCTTTTGCTGGCCTGATCCAGAATTGGCTTCTAAGTATCCAGAAGTGGCGGAAGGAAAGAGGTTTTTGAACTCTGGAATGTATATCGGATATGTTCCAGAAATTTTGAAATTGCTTGAGAGGGAAGAGATTGCGGATACTGATGATGATCAGTTGTTCTTCACCAAAGCTTACTTAGATGAGACATTTAGAGATAGTATTAAGATGCAGTTGGATCATAAGAGTGATATTTTTCAAAATTTGCATGGTGTTGCAGGTAAGACAGCATTTGTTGAAGAGTATTCAGTTCTGTATTTTTCTTCATTTTTCATCGCTATACGCTATTATTTTTTTTTTCAAATGTTTTCAGCTAAATGATTTCTCTTTGAATCTACTTTTCAAAAAAGTTTTTGCTGTCTGAAATCACGTTAGAATTATCCATTTATTCAATCTTGGAAAAATACATGTTTTTATTTATTAGAATAATGCCATTCTAGTTTGATCAGAAAAGGTTCCATTTATTTGGAATGTTCAGAACTGTTCATTACAAAATTATCTTACTATCCAAAACTTGAATTAGAAAATTGTTTCAACCTGTTCATATCCTGAGAGGAAATTATAACTCACTTACAACATAGTATTTTCCGATATATTCCATTAAACTTTTCTTCTTCATGTGGGCCAAGTGAACATTGAAATTCAGTACCTATTTTCTTTCCAGATGAAATCGAAGTAGCTTCTGTAGATTCCAAAGAGTCAGGACCAGAAAGATACCTAATCAAAAACATGCTGACCAAAACTGAACCTAGTATATTACATGGCAATGGTAGATCCAAAATATCATTGAACTATCTAGGAAACTATGTACCAAACACTTGGAATTCCATAGATGGTTGCAAGGCCTGCAAAGAAGGGCATATTGACCTCAGTATGAAAACACCAACTGAAATGCCTGTTGTTGTTGTTTCGGTTTTCATTGAACAAAACACACCATTTTTAGAAGAGGCTCTAGAAAAATTGCATGACCTGGATTATCCCAAGGAGAAGATACACTTCTTCATTCATAGTGCTGTAGGTTTTCTTGAGTTTCAACAAAGATTATGAACACCAGGCTATGAATATTTATCTAACATTCCTTTGATTTATGCAAACTTGATGTTTTCAGTAATTAATTAATCCATGTTTCTGAATGGAGGAACGTCTATTTAGAAACCATAGTCGCCTTCCCTTTGATTCGTCAACATGTAGACAATGTCACACCTGTCTAATATGACTTAGGTCATGACGTTAAAGCAGTTTTCTTTGTGGGAAGATAATCACATCATCACATTTGAGTTTCAATCGTCCTGATAAAAAACTCGAATTAGAGTGGAACTACAACATTAGCATGACCATGATTTTGAAGTAGGCGCCATATTGTTATTTCGCCAGCTGGCAGAAGTAGCGCCACCTACTGTATTCTTATTTGAAATCTTCTGTAATTGAGTTACTCTGCAGGCTTGATTATGTAGTTCTTATATTTTTCATCAGTTTTGCCAACCGTGTATTTAGTTTTTTTTTTATCTTTGGTGCTCATGGTCTTTGTTTTTTATATATTTAATATAGCAGTACTTAAATTACCTTTAACTTTAACGGTAGGGTGCCAATTTAAATTTGCCGATTTTATTTGCAGGTAAGGGTATATCATTATTAGTAAATTTTTGTTTTAGGTGAAGTATCATGCAAGTCTCGTCACAAGGTTCGCAGAAAAATATGACAGAGAATATCCGTCCTTCAAACTAATTACACCAGATGATGGTACATCGGAATGGAAGGCGAGAGATTTGTCATTGTGAGTACTGTTGTAAAATATCACAAACATAATTTATGCTGAAGTGGCAAACATTTTGCTGCTTATATTCTCAAATCATATGCATCAAACGTCCTAAGGACCACTGAAATTTTTGGCCACACAAAATATCTGCATATTGAAAAATAATCATTACAATCTCTACAAAACACCGTAAACAGGGTTACTTTTTGGATTCATGTAAAACCATAAAAATGTGTTGAAACCGATTTTTTTTTTTTCGTTTCCAATGGCATTTGATTGATAAACAATATCACAATGATCCATGAGAAAAGAGACAAATCATTCTTGAAAAATCATGTTTTTTTTTATAACAGCCAAATTTGTTTAGCATATGACTTATAACTGAGATAATGCAGAGATGTGTTTATTTAATGTGAGATATTTCTATACTGAAATTATTCCAACTAATAATTTCAAAACATGTTATTGAGAGTGGATTTCTTTTAGGGACCATTGTCTTGCCAAAAAATGTGATTTCTACTTCTCAGTTGATTCCGTTGCACATATTGACAATCCTCACACTCTAAGACTGCTCATTGAACAAAACCGTACAGTGGTAGCCCCCATGTTAGTGAGACCTGGCAAAGCTTGGAGCAATTTTTGGGGATCCCTCACCAAGGATGGATTCTATGCTAGATCAAACGATTATATGGATATTGTTCATAACGAGAAGAGGTGAGTTAATTTATTTAGTTTCATATGAAATGCTAGTCGGAATTAGAGTTTGTTTTGTTTTGACGTTTTTGTGTAATAAGAGTACTGACACTTAGTCGTAACTACAAATAAAATGGATGGAAAACGCGGGATGTGAAACTTATAGCGATTTCAAAGGTGTGTAGAAATGAAAACGAATTCAGAAAAATAATGAGATAGATAATACTAGCATTCGAATTTCCATCAAATAGTAATAGAACAGAACAATGACAGAGACATGGACAGAAAACATGTAGCGGTCGGCGTGAAATATCGGTTCCGCTAGCAAAATTTGCGAGGTAGGTATTTAAATTGTTTCTAACTTACAATTAAAATCAACTTGGACAACAATTGCGGCATTCTTGGATCTTCAAAGATCATTCGAGACCGTTCACAGGGATAGATTATTACAAAAGTTAGAGACACTAGGAATAAGAGGAATAGTTCTGAAATGGGTAGAGAGCTATTTTAAAAAAAGACTACAGAGATTAAAGATGCATAATGAATATTCAGATAACATTGAATATAATCAGGGTGTACCGCAGGGAAGTGTTCTGGGGCCACTGTTATTTCTGATCTATATAAATGATGTGCCAAAGGTGATAGGGAACTGTTCAGTGCATCTTTTTGCGGATGATACACTGATATATCAACAAAACATTTTAAGCTATATACAGATGGTGTTGTGCCAACTATTTGAGAATCAATGAGTACAGAAAGAAGCTATAAAAATATTAGTGAAGATATGTATTGTGAATTTCATTCTCAAATATCATCAGATTATCGATATTTTTGAACAATAATTAGGTTTATGAAACTTTTATCACATTTTATTACATTATTATTTACATCAGTTAGGGGTTATCATATCACAATCGTTGCAAATACTGGGTGAAATCAATCAAAAGCAATACTGAAATCAGTTTTGAATGATTTCCGATCTATAGAATACATGTTGTCGGCCGTACATTCATAAAAACCTGCGTCCATTTGAGTGGCTGGATCAATTTCTAGTTTGCTCTTGATTTTGTCCCTTCCTATTTGCCATTCATGAATCTGAAAGAATGAAAAACTACTTAAAATCAACAAAATTTAATGAATACCGGGTGTGTAAATGATTCCGTTTTTTTTTCAAATTCAGAACACCCTATGGAATTGAAATGTAACAGTAACATGATCTATAATGTGTATTTTATAATAATGATACAGTGGATGTTCCATTAATAAAAATTATTCAAGATGGCGTCAGCCGCAATTTTAAATCTGAGCTGTTGTTTTCACATAAAAAAGTAGGTTTCCATCTCCTGTTTGAGCCTTCCAAATTTCGTTGCAACATACTAGGGGGTTAAAAAATTTGTAGTAGGTGAACGCACTTCAGTTTAAACGGAACTGTATATCCAGTAACGACAAAGGTGATCCTAGGTTATTAAGTGAACTAGTGAAAGACTTGCCATATATAAGTTATGAAAAAAAAATACTATTGCTCAAAAACTTCTGATAGAAAAGTGTACTGATATATGAAAAAGTTTTTTTAAATAAAAAATTAAACGGGATAATTTCAGGAGCCTATTCCACATTCATATCCTTCATGGTAAATGAATCTCATTAAAGCAGACAAAAATCAGTTGAAAGCAGACAAAAATCAGTTGTTTTCCTAATTACACACATAATGAGATAGATTAGAACAAGAATTTTAGAAAATTGTTTTCCTGTGTGGAAATATTCGTTTGTGGTATTGCAGTGTCTATTATTTGTCAAAGTTCATTTTATTATATCATTAACTCACATGAAGATACTGATGTGTGAATATTTCACTTCCATCCTTATACCATGTTATGTGAGGTCTGGGGTTACCCCTGGCTACACACAAAAAAGCTATTTTGTGTCCCAGCACATATTCATAATCGAAGTGGGAGGCAAGAGTTATTTTTGCACCCTGAAATTGATTGTTTAAAATAATGTTATAAGAATGCATTTATAATTATAACTATTGCTTATGAACATATACATCTAATTTCTTAAGACTTCGTCAATAAATAGTATGAATTTTATGAAAATTGTAGCAAGACTTACATTATTGTTATTATAATATTGGTCCGATTCAGGATCTCTATATTTTCCAGTGATTGGCAATCCAATTTGAAACTGTAACATAAATGGAATTCTCAATAATATGATGTATTCAACACTAACCTAGCTCAGTTTGGATCGCTTTGCTATTTGTTTCTACGCGTTATGATGGTATATATACAGAAATATACAGGGTGCCATTTGATAAAAAAAGTTGGGTCCACTTCCGATCAAACAGGTTGTTGACGAAAATTGTCATTGGACTAAAGGGAAGCGCCATCATCGATAATATAACCCTAGTGAATTTCAAATTCTTATCTCTTCAAATAAAAAACTACAGACTGTTACATGTCTCCTGTGTCACCCGGTATATCACAAAATATCATTTGAGATACAATGGACGCTTTCTGCTTTCTGAAATTCAATTGACTATTCTGAAATACAATATTGACGCCTTCTGAAATTCAATTGAAGGATAACTGGAAAATGTGTAGTATTATTTGAAACTATGATTACCTTGGATTTTGTTTTACCTCTGACTTTTCCTCTTCTCATTTCTACGCACCCGATGATGGCTAATAAAATTAACAAAATAATTGAACTCTTCATTTCCGTTTCTTTGTATTCTCTATTGAACCGGCGTTGCTGTGTCGGCAGTTCGGTGTTGAGGAACTGCTTGCAGAATCGGCTGGGCTCCCCTCGAATTGCACAGATCATCACAGATTGACAACAATTTATTTCAATCAAATCGTCGGCATAGACAACATCCAACCGGTATCATTTATCTGTATTTTTTTAAGGGGAGCATTCGAGGTAATGTGTCTAGATGATGTGTAATTCGTTAGGGAACATTTTCTCAATCATAGCATAGGTTGACACTGAGCAAAATTGTTTGAGTCTTTTGTGAAAATCAATCTGGTTTTGGAAGAAACCAATAATATTCATGATACTTCTAGGCAGTAAAGGTTCTACACCGATTCTTAAGTTTTATGACCCAACCTTAGGTTTAGGGTGTATAGGGTGAATAGGAAGTATTTCCAAGAACTTATAACCTCTAAAAGTTCTACAAAATTCCAGTACCTACCTTCTCTCCCAAGATGTTTCTCGAACGAATTCAAAGCGATAACAAATATAACTTTTCGAAGCGATATAGTCAGGTAATGAAAAAAAGAGATAAAAAAACAAGTACATCTTCCCTGATTTTTTTGTAGGACCCCTGAATCTATACGATACTAGGTAGAGTCCGACTACGTTAACTTTGGGACCGCACGTAGTCTCGTATTTTATACATATAATATATATATACGTATTAATAAACAATACGGATCATAACGGGTGCCAGGATGAAGCCAAAAATATGAAACAAATGAATATCCATAAGGATTTGGTGGCATGATTCGCATGCGCCATGCGCTATTATAGTAGTCGTTTTCGGTGGACAATGGCGTTTACTAGCCTTTCAATCAAAGCAGTATGTGTCTGATCGTTTCAAAACTTTTCCTTATGGATAGTCATTTGTCTTCAAAAATCGGCTTCATGTTTCGCTATGGAAACAGATAGAGATTATCCGTATTGATTATTAATACGTATATGATTGAATATCACGTGGTGGTCGGATAAGAGTAACTGGATGGTATTAGTTATAGCGTATTTAGAGAAAAGTTCGGAAACAGCTGAACTTCTGTCCTTTTCTATTTTCTATATTATAATGGTTTGAGTGAATACAAAAATAAGACATATATATCCTGCTCTTTGTCTCTTCAATTTCTCTAGTAGCGCCTGACAGCTACCATTTTAGAGGTTAGATTTTCTGTCAAATCAGGCATAGCCGTAGTTGGAAAATGGAAATAGGGTATAAACGCCCACTTCAATTCATAGCGTTACACTTTTCGCAGGACAACAGTTATGAAAATGAAGAAAATACATGTAAGAACATTTTATTATGACAAAATAGAAACATAATTTATGGATATATTTATAGCGAGTTCCTTATTATTGTATGTAAAACTGTACTCGAACTAGTATACCTATAAATGGATGGAACAGCATATTCTATCAAACGGATCTTAAAATCTTCTGTCTGAAAATGGGCCAGAAATATAGTTGTTTCATTTTAATCTGCTGTTATAAGAAGTGAATTTCAATGTATGTGAGTACCTACCTCACAAATGTGATTCGAACGTGATTCGAACCCACTGATTTAGTGATTAATTGATCTACCATTTTTCCTTCGTGACTAGTCGTAATACTATTGAAAGTATTGACGTACCACAGATGCACCAACATGATTTTGAACCAGTCAGATGTGAAGTTCACAAAAACTAATTTGTCTTCTGAATAACTTTCATTAGAAAGCTGGGTAGACCTACAATCAGATTTCACCAAAATAAAGCTATTTGAGTAATCAAACGTCCATAATATTGCTTCTACAATGGTAGAGGTTCTTAGGATGGCAACTTGGAGTGAAGTCCCCAATTGGTCCTTATTTTTTGTTTTGAAATCAAAGGGTCAGGAGAAGAAACAATGAGTCCTATTCAGAACTGACACTTGGTATCTCGATTGTATATTATCATAGTTATTAACAAAAATACAAAAATTTTAACTGAATGAGATATAATATATGCATTGAACTATGTATATAATGACATATTTGGAAGATATAGTAACTAGTGTAGTTGATATGATACTATAAATTCTGAATACTAATACATATCAAAATAATCCGATATCATGTATTATTTTCAGTTCAATTATCCTATCAAAATATATGAATAGGTATACATACTATATGGTGTGTCCCAAAGTGGTTGCAAGAAAGTATGAGCATCTTTTTTAAGATTTAGTGATCACCACTTGAATCAACTGACGTTCACTTCATTTTGAAGTCTTGCCAACTTTCGGTTGAACACTCACATGAAACGGAAGTTTTCATCTGCTAACAATTATTTTGCGAATCAGTTTACGAATAATTCTATGATTCCTATGCCTATTTTCAATAAATTGATTCACGTCCTAAAAAATATGATTATCTCAATAAGTGATCATGACATAGTCGGTTCGAAAACCTCTCGAATCGACCGAGTATTTGTTATTGGCCTGACATTCGTAGTATCCAGCGTCTTTCTGAGTTGTAGGGTCGATTTCCATCTTGCTTTTCAAAGTATCGTTTCCCATCGGCCATTCGTGTACCTACAAAATAATTCAAATATGTTCCGCCAATAAGCAATAGGATATGGTGGCCCAGTAATGCATTCTGTGGGAGCTCGTAGTTTTCCTTTTATACGTCACTTCCCAAACATATATGTTGATTGATATCAATGATGATCCTGATCTCATCATCAGAAGTAGGGCGACTCTATTAGTTCTTGGTCTCTTAGTTATATTTTAGTTCCCTGAAATGATTGAATTCACGGGTAATGTGATGGGTTCACATATTGAAACGTAGATCGCGTGATATTTCATAAATTGAATGAATTATATAAGACAAGTATGGCATCCCTGTTGTTTTATCAAATACCAATGGTTCTGTATAGTGTTAACTCTCATTGTGGTTGAAAACCAGACTGAACTCATTCTAGATCAATGGAATCAATACAGCAATGATGAATTTCTGACCAACGTTAGTAAGGCTTATGAAGAAGAAGAAATCAGCCTCAAAATTCGTCTCGAAGAGTAATGCGCTGTTGCCACTGTTACCAGACAAAATTTTTATCTTTCCTGAAAAACTGATGGAATCTGTTAAGATATAACTGTTAACTATTATAGTGTCAATAATTTTGTTCAAAGTAATCATCATCAACTATGCTATTCCATTTCTGGATGCTATTGCAATATATAGATTATGTTTTGTCTGCAACTATCATTTCACTGACATTCATGAAAAAATTCCATGAAGAGGAGTTATTTCAGGAAAGGTAGACCATGAACTTACTGATCTCTTCTCTTTACATTATTCTTCAATCGCATGGCGATATTTAATATTCAGTGCTGAATTTTTAAATATTGACACATTCAACTAAAACCGCCAGCGTTTTATTTGGCTCTGATTGAACTCGCATATTTGTCCTTCGTGAACATGGATTTCAGTATGTCATACAAATGGTGGAGGAGCCAACACTATTTTTCCAAAAAAAATTTCTGAATTCAAGTCTAAGAAAAATCTCAACTTTATGGAAATATAATAACCTTAATTATTGAGATGGGATTATAATAATGAGGTCAACTAAATTGTGACGGGCTTTGATTACCAGTAGTTGGTTCCCTCTACAGTTTTCTGAACACATGCTCGTAATATTCTAGTATATTCTTGAGTCTAAATATTCTAGTAGTGAAAATGTTGTGATGACAGTTTAGTCATTGTTTGATATAATCTTGTTTATAGGAAAATTTCGAACACAGAATACGTTACTGGGCTTCCGCAATAGAATATTTAGCAATCAGAAATATGCCTATCATTATCTGCTATGTCTAGTTAATTGCTATAGTTTCATTCAAAGTCATGCATTATTTTGTGTAGTAGTAAATGAGGTTTTTTATACATTATACGTAAATTCTTTCCTAATTATTTTGTGGAAATGAAAATGTACTTTCTGTTCACTAAATATTCTGTTATAAATGATACCACCTGGAAAAATTTGTGATATATCAGTTCTATTCCATCTTTGAACCAGATTATTTCAGGTCGAGGAAAGCCTAAAAAGTTTTCAAATTGTATTTCTTTAAAAACAAAATTGAATTGGAATGTGTACCCTGAGCCATACAGAAGAAAGTAATTTTTCTACCAAGCATATATTCCAGTTCAAAATGGCTGGCTTTAACTATTTTGGCTCCCTAAAAAGACAGTCTGGGTTTCGGTCGGACATGTATACAGTGTGTCACTGTAAATTTCCTCTTCTCGCTGATATTGGTTATGTAGAAATCAGTGGCGGCTCATCAGGAGAGGCGGGTGAGGCAGTTCCTCTACATTATATTTCAACGCGCTTATAATTTTAGAAAAATATTTCAAAATTTCCATCTGTCATTCTCAAGCTCATTGTGTTTTTCCCCTGTGACATTTAGTTTGTTCTTCACTATACTTTATTTGTGAAAAAGTATTTCACTAAATCACAATCATTCGAAGAAACCAAACCAACCGCAATTCAAATTATCCTAAAAAACGAGTAAACCTGGCCGAAATCATATCCTAATCTGATACATGAAACAAGAAAACAAATATTCAGATGGGCTATGCTCCCTCTGTTGCTGCTTCTCGTTGGATGTTGCCAAGTCACAAATTTTTATTCTATTCTGAAATCCAATGCTGTGAAAATTCTCTAATTTTGTAGGTACATGACAAACATCTACTTGATAGTAGGAAATAAAACCGATGTCCCGAACAATTCGATGTATGGACATTTATATTAAGGAGGTTCAGCCCCTGAGGAGCTGCCACTGTATGAAATATTTACAGGCAATTATTTCAAATGTTCTAATGAATCTTCGCAGCCGAGAGGAAATTTATGGTGGATCGTTTCAACGTGACATACATCTTTATTTTCGTAATAATTTTTAGCAGCTGGATTTCGATGTTGTATGATAACGGGCATTCTCGAATTGTATAGTCTTCCTCGACCTCTCGCAACTTTTCCTGGAATCAAAACAAAGTTTCAGCTTTAAATGTGTATATCTGGCAGAACTTATATTGGTGAGATCTACTACATCAAAGAATATCATATATCTACTATTTCTATATATGGCCCATGGCCTATAGGATACCTCAACCAAAATGGGACCAAAATGAGTGGTACTTTTTGAATCTATAAGGACGGAAAGTGAAGGATGAAAACTGCTGACGTGGGGATCATATTTCAAGTTAGGTTAAGTTCGTAAATAATTATTTGATCACAATAAAATATCAAAAATCATCATTTGTTGGATAATACCACAGTATAATACAGTTAACTTCGATTTATTCATTCATAATGTGGTTAAAATATAGCAAAGCATAATGTCATTAACTTTGAGGAACAGGAAAGAGCCATTGCAGATGATAATGAAATAACCTGCGATAACGATTTCATTCAGTTCGGTGTTTGACATAACAATAAAACATGAAGTTCGGATCTAGATTTTTTTTTATAATATACCATGTTGAATAATTTCAATAGAGAAACGTCGCTGCTAAATAACGATGAATCATTTCTGAAATATCGCCACATAATACCCTGTATCTTCGTTATGGAGGGTCAGCTACCTCAACCTACATCAACCCGTCCTGATTTCTCCTATTAACCATTTAGCTATGTGAGTCTCCTCATGAATCACCCTGTATAGTATATCTCAGTTTCATTCTTATTTAAATTGAATTCAGGCATTTATTTTCTTGTTTATTGTCCAGGGAATTCATAACAAAAAAAGAATCTTAAAATCTGAATGAAAACGATTCGTTATCTTTCAGTTCCGCAGCATTCAAACCTCTCAATCACATCTTTTGCTTGCTTTTTTCACTAACAACCCTTATTTCCTGCGCTAAAAATGGTAGAAAAATGGGGATCGGAATGAGAGCCAAATAAAGTATCCAAAACGTGACAAATATTATCTCACCTCTGCCTCCACCCCTAGCACTTTGACACGCATCAAAAGCAACCATGACGAACATCAACAAAACAGACAGCAATTTTTTGCTCCACATCTGAACCGATTCCCTTGTATCCCGATCGAGCCAAGACCACCCGAAAAAAATGATGGCGGGACCTTTTTTCGGATGGACTTTATTTTTGAGAAGTGCGCTCACGAATGGGGTCAACCGTTTATTTCGCCATTACCTAATTAGGTGTCATTCGAAAAGGGGACAAGGATTGGTGCAAATGTGTGACTGAATTGTTCACTTAGCATTGATTTGTTTACATTTTCCTATTGACATTCTATGGTAATTATTCTATAAATAAAACAATGTGAGAAGGGAGACTAAAAAAAACTTAGCTAAGGTCTCTCTCATTGAATATCAACCCGAGCTTGTACTAAGAATGGAGTATGTCGCATAGGTATAAGCATTGAGCATTGAGCAGTTCACGCTTGTCAGTGCTGCCTTGCAAGATGCCAAAATGCCGATACTGTTATCTCTCATCATATAGTGTTGCGATCTCTCTCACTCTCTCACTGTTCATTTCTGCCCCTCGCATCTGTATCTACAGCCAATAGTACCGATTATAGACCAGTGTAAACTGCGCAAACTGCTACTCCTGTTTCCAGAGCGCTGGTGTCTGTGTCAGTTTTCTGTGGCTCTAACACCTCAATGGATCAGGAGCTGGTGTGTTCAAATTGTTGGAATGCCTAACAGTGACTATTGTTTAGGTACCTGAACACCTGGGGTGTGAAGGTTAATGATAAAGTCGACTCTCATGTTAGAACAAACCAGTTTTTGTAATCACAGGAAGTGATGCCGAAACACTCATATCAGATTATAACATATATAAATATATCACGGGGATAGGTATGTAGATTCGAAAGCATTTCTATCTAATCTATCGAAAAAAGCAACTAAACAGATTCTAGAATAATTGATACGAATTTTTTCAGAACTGCTTACAATTCGTTGAAGAAATCAACATCTGAGCGAATGAACAGCCTGTCAGTTTTGCTGTGTAGAAAACTAGAAAAACAAAATGGCTGAATGCATACACAGTGGTCATGTTCCGATATTGCTGACATTACTGGCCAAAGGAAAGCAATTTAGGAACACTAAACAGTAGCAGTTGCTTTGAATTTTCATCCCATTTCGGAACGATTTTGGCAGTTCTTTTATCGAATCATACCTAACCATTCCAACGCTTAACCTAACATATCATGAATACTGGCACTACATCACCATTTTTGCACCAGTGACAACAGTAAACTTTAAGCCTCTAGCAGGGTTCCTTGCAATAACCCGCGAAAACGTTGCCAGTAACTTTCAGTAGAATCGAAACGATAAAATATACTGGGCAGTACTGTTAGGGAATATCGGACCATGCCCATAAGCTTGAGTCCAGTCGCTATACTTAGACAGTATATCGGGCATAGCGTGGTATCAAAATATTTCAAAATAGCCAAGAATAAAAAATGAATAAAGGATGGGGGACTAATTTTCAACATTCTACCTAACTAATCCACGTAGACCAATGATCAAAATCTGATAAAATTCAAATACATCTATCGCTAACCTCACATAGCAACCGCTTCATGAATATTTATATCATTGATTTTCTAGTTTGATACGCGAAAATACAATGTTTACCCCACAACAACCTTTCAAATGACGTAATTCCGAACTTTAGTTTCGGATGACTCAATGCATTTCAACAATATTTTACTAGGGGACTGTGGAACGTGCCATTCATCAACAACGCCTATCTCGTAAACGCCACCCTCTTGAGGAAATACGATCGCACCCAACTTGGTTTCGACAAACCCAACGTCGATGCGGACATGACTTTCTGTACGAGACTGCGAGACCTGGACGTCTTCATGTTCGTCTCCAACAGGATCGATTTCGGCCATCTGATCAACGCTGACAATTTCGACACTACCAGGACGGAGCCGGAGATGTATCAGATTTTCGATAACGAGATGGATTGGGAGAATCGTTACATCCATGTGGATTATCCAGAGAATTTCAATCCAGATAAGAAAGACCTACAGGTATGTGATACGAGTATACTTAACTATTCATTACATCACTCAAAAACTGTCTGTGTGTCCCCTATTCCGTTTAGTGAACAGATATGGAGAATATTGTAGCAACTCATATGGTTCTAGCAGGTTATACGGTACTATTGAGAACAAACGGTGCCTCCACCATTTGTCGCAACTCAGAATTTCGACCTTCGTATGGGTCTCGCTTGGTCTTTGAGGGAGGTTTTTTGATCATTTTACCACCAAACCATATGGGCGTGTTTTTCATTCCATCGAAGAAAGTGCGCACTGATAGATGCGGTTTTTTGTCGTGACGTCACCAATTGTTCTGTTGGAATTTATGCTGGAAGGATTGAACAATGGTTTATACAACACTTTGATGGAAACACGGATTTTGTTGTGTGTCAGTCATCATGTATCTTGAGAATCAGAAGAGGCTAATTCGATTTTATTGATTAACACTGACTCTTTCTTCTAAAATCTCTCAAGAATCTCAAAAATCCTCAATATTAATTGTTTTCTATCAAATCAAAACAAAAAACAACACTAAAATGTGTCAACTGTCATGTCAATCTCCTCCAAACTGCTGGATTCTCGAAAAGCGATTTAAAAGTGCGCATTTTATTACAACAGTTTGATGGATGTCCATCCACATTCCAGCGGAATTTTGCAACAGTTTGATGGTTTCTTCGATTCATGCGCATGATAAAATGTTGGAATGAAAAACGCACCCTATTCATCCCCAAATGAAGAGTCAAGACAGTTTTCATATAAAATCGTCATTTATTGATTAAATGGGAAAGACATGAATAAATGCTGGCAGATGAGCAGAGAAAAACCTTAGTGAATTGCCAAATGAAACATAACACAAAATAATTCAGAGAGAACATATGAAAAAATAGTAGGTACTTACATTATGACGTCTAGCAGTGGGCTGACCAGCAGGATTAAACTTGGGGAGACGGCGAACATTTTGATAACAAATCATGAATTACTAACTAAATTTTGAATTAGTCACTTGTCTGATCTGACTTTTGTTTAGGCTCAGAATGTCGTTAGTCACTGTTCTGGACAGTGTTCCAACCATCAGTTTACTGTGTCTTTGTCCTGGGCATTTTTCCAGTATGCCTGATGTCTTTCTTACATCCACCTTGCCAGCCAGCCGCGTATTGAGGTTTTGGGGATACCGAACACAGTTTCCGGTCCCATAAGCAACGCCGCAGACCCTTGCCTAGCAAGAGCGTCAGCTGCTTCATTACCTTCAATTCCTTCATGCCCTGGCACCCATTGAAGAGTTACCTTGTTGTGGTTAGCCAGGGTTAGCAGGCTTTGGAGGCAATCCCAGAGCAGTCTTGATCTGATTTTATTGCATTTTGATTTGTTTACCTCTGTATCCTCTTACGATATTCTCTGTCAGACATGCCTCAATAGCATGCATCTCTGCCTGGAATACCGAATCATACCTCCCCAAGGAAGCTCGAATCCTAGTTCTGGGTCTATCTCCATATATTCCGTCTCCTGTACCCTCATCACTCTTAGATCCGTCAGTGTACCACACTAACGTGCCTACCTGACAGTTAGTCAAGCCCATTTCATCCCAGTAGAGCTGAGTGTTGAAGGGTCTGTAATAACATGTAACATACTCGTTGATATGAGGTTGACGGAACGAGTTCATGAATGCACTTCTCCATCAGCCCTGCCCCGACGTTTACTGGTTTCCCATCGTGTCCCCGGCGTTCTGCCGCGCCCTCATCAACATGATGGAGACCTTCGGGCAGTGGTCCTCGGGCAGGAACCAGGACGACCGGCTGGAGGGCGGCTACGAGGCAGTGCCCACCCGCGACATCCACGCCAACCAGGTGGGGTGGGAGAAGCACTGGCTGCGCTTCCTGCAGAAGTACGCCAGGCCGCTGCAGGAGAAGGTGTTCACCGGGTACTACCACGATCCGCCGAGGAGTTTGATGAATTTCGTCGTGAGGTGAGTGAAGAGCGAGGGTTTTTGTTGTTCAGTGCCTAGATAGATAGATAAGCTTTATTGTCTAAAATGAACACATTTTGTCGACAAAGTCAATATCTTGTGATACATTGATTGCAAGATATAAATAAATAAAATAGAATAAAAGAGGAATATATAAAAATAATGGAATGGAAATGTATGTGGTGTTGGCAAAGTGCCGTGAGAAAAAATATTTCTCACAGTATGAGCAATATATGGTTTTGAAACTAAGTAAGCTATTAGAAATGCGCTACTTTTCATAGCAGTAGTAGAAAAAATACTATTTCGCAACCGCAGATACAGACCAGACGAGCAACCGTCCCTCCGACCGCACCACGACAGCTCCACCTACACTGTCAACGTTGCCCTCAACGAGCACGGCAAAGACTACGAAGGTGGCGGCTGTCGCTTCATCCGGTACAACTGCAGCGTGGTCGACACCCGGCTCGGCTGGCTTTTGATCCATCCCGGCCGTTTGACGCACTACCACGAGGGGCTGAAGGTTACCAACGGAACGCGGTACATCATGATCTCGTTCGTCGATCCGTAGAGCGGTCATCAGACTAAATAGGGTTCACGTATTCAAAACGCCCCGATAACAGGCATAGGCAAGCTTTTATACCAATCACAACGTTGAGTTTCACGCGTGCGTGTTTCGGCTTAGGTTTTTTAATTCGGAATGAACATCATTTTGAAATGCTTCGGATTTTGAATTATTCTTGACATTGGAGTCATCACAAACTACTCTCGGAGTTCTGGACCACAAGTGATGACAGATTTTCATAACGATAGGAGCATTGATTTCGATCAACTCATTGTCAATAAATCGGAAAAAGAGGTAAAATACGCACGCACTTCACCTAATGCAATCACAATAATAATATCTGTGTTAATATTTATAGAACTTACTTCCTCTCTGGACCACGAGAATAAGGAAATGGTGAAACTGCATTTATCATGCGATATGGTTTTTTTTTCGAAATTTTTTTCTTTGTACTTACGTATTTTTGTCTGAAAAACACGAATTTGATACTGAAAATGTGAACAAACCACTATTTATCGAGATATTTGAAGAAAAAGTTCGAAATTTCGTTTTACCAAAATATTTTTAGTTACAGCAATTTGTCCTAAATTTAATTTTCCAGTTCCTATCATATGCTTCATCCATTACCAGACACTTGAGAAATAATTCGATGTATGACTGGGTGATTCAAAATCGCCAAGATCCGCGATTCGAATTTACCGCCAAGGCCAAAATCGACCTGATTGGTCTAAAAGCTTGTCTATGCCTGTTATCGGGGCGTTTTGGATACGTGCAAATGGGGTCCCTTGATGCAAACTAGTGTTGTCATCTAACAGGCTGTGTCAAGTCTGTGGTTTGACCGAGCACATACGTTCAATATGATGTCTGACCATCAGTCTGACCAACCAGCTGTTTGGGAATATCGGTCACGTTTCACACAGTTTCCACGTCGACTTCTGGATGGGAGTCAATTAAGTCAGCCATTAACCTTTCTGGTATCAACACTGTGGTCAGAAGGATGACTTGACACAGCCCATAGCTCCTTTCTCTTTCAATCATATCTAGTGACTTTGGTTTCGTGTATTGGCGTCCCTGACATGACATTGCTGTTACTTCAAATTCATAGGCGTTGAAAGAGATCTTACAAAATTTCAATTACATACTTGATCTTGTTACATTATTCAATTCTGTTTTGGAAGGATTGTAAAATGTGCTGCGTTAGGCTGTATCAATCAGTTGGATGGCAAATTTAAATTTGTCATCAAATGCAAAGGAACTTAGAACATGGAAAGTGAAGTGACCGAATGGGAAAAATTGGTAAATACATCAGCAAAATATTCGAGGTAAAATTAATACGAAATCACATATTATACTTTCTCATTGTGCCTATAGATATCCACTCCACAAATTTTTGAATGCATTTTAGTAGAAACAGTTTTGATTAAAACGGAGGACCAAAAGAATAGGCATATCCCTACCATTTAAGAAATTATACCTCTACATTCAGGAAGTATTGAATGTTCGTGAAAATCTGCAAAAATGATTCCCAACATGAATATATACAGCACACATGACATATGAGCACATTAGTTTGAATACCTACATAACATTTTTCACTATTTCTCAACCAGAAGGCTTAGTCTGAAATCAAAATTAATTTATTGATAGGTACAGTCCCATTTGGAAAAACGTATTAAACTTTCAGAAAAATTTGCTCACTGCCTTACAAAGATTATGCTGGAGTTGAAAAATCAAAAACTCGAAAATTATCATTTGGATATAATATGTAGAGTTGAATGAGGAATTACATGTGGAAATTACGTATGATACGCCAATGTCCTCAATATAACCTAAAAAAACAAAAAATGTCAGAAATCTAGTGTTCATCCCCAGAAATGAATAGAGATGAAACTATATAACTGTTTCACAAACACTTTAGAGTGAAAGGAGACGAGGATCTGTCCGTACCCTGTTAAGATGACAAATTTACATCAAGGGACCCTAAGACTGAATAAGAAGATGAGACACCGCGATTCGTTCATAAATCATTGAAAAGTATATGCTAACAATCCTGAACGCCAATGAATGGGATTGCGAATGGTGGGGATATCTGTGGAATCATTGCCAGGATTGATATTTCTCATAGATATCGTTTGGAATTTCTATAAATGTGTGTATGTGCATGTACATTAATACAACTTTAACGTATCATAACATATTTATACTTCATTTCGTAACGTCTAAATGAGGTTATTTGATATATTCAATATTATAAACACTGCCACTATTACCAAACTTTTACGTACCTGTGAAATATCATGTTTGTAAGTAACTCTTTAAAGATTTGGCACTGCCGAACCATATTTACCAACAAAACTTTGAAATTATATTATCAAATGAGTTACTGAAACATTGAAAACTAATCACACAATAGCCGGAAAATCATGTATAACAACAAAAACGACAAATGACATGTCTCACTGATTATCGTTCGCCTACTACGAAACTTTATGGTACCGCCACGTTCATCTTTAAATAATTGATATTTTTTATTTTATTATATACCCTACAAAAACTGATAAGTTTTCAATTATTAGTAGTGAATTTCTGACAATTATATTATTATGAGTGTATTAATATGTTATGAATGTTGTTCTGTTTTTTGTCATGATCTATTCATGCCGAGTTGAATTACATGTTTTATCCGAAGAATCCTCTCGAATTATCGATTTGGCAGCGATTCCACAGAGGTCCTTAGAATTTTGATGTCTTCTCGGCTGAAGAAATAAGCTAAATGGAACACAATTTTCAATTAGTTACTCTGAGGATTTTTTCATATTATAGAGTACGGGCAATCGACAAATGATTTTTATGTTTTGCCAAAGTAGTCTTGTATTTTCCTTCCTATACAATATTCCACATAGCCGCTTCACGTTTTTTTCAATTTTGGAATATGATTCCATTCAATTGATAATTGAAATAAAGTGGATAGATTATCAGTTCTAAACACCACAAACTTGCATCATGCTATTATTCTCAACTTGACAAATCTTTCAATTTCATATACGTTCTCTTTTTGATTTCGTCAAGTTTTTTGTGGTAATTTCCAACTGAGAATTGATCTAAGTGCAAAGTATTCTATGTTCATCTCTATGTTGTTGTTTTTTGAAACATAAGAGTTTCAAGAGACAATTTGAAGGACACGTGTATATTGATAGATTCAAACCAGTAAAAAGACATGTCCTGAAATCATATATTCAATAGTTATGATCTGGAAATATGAAATCCCACACAGTATGATTTTTTTATGGGGAATTTGTTCTGATTGAACATATCAAAAATGAACAAAATAACCTGATCAAATAAGGGCTGTAGCAATGAAAGCAATTTAACAAACTTGATATTGTGTACAAATTGTAGTCCTAACTGCCTACTGAAACTCCTTTAGTTTCTTGATTTAATAAAGTTCCTGCAAACTAACATATATTTAATCAGATCTGATATTTCTAAGTTTTTATAGATTTGACTGAATCTAATTGTGTAGTTGAAATTTTATATTATTTTTAACAAAGCTATTATATTTTATACACTACAACTTATAATAAACCTTTGGAAATACATATTTTTTATTGAAATCTGGATAACCAGAAACAGTCTATCACCTTCTATCACTGATGTGTGTGAATTTTTAATTTTACATATCAGTTTACAAATTGACATTGAATTGACTTGGCCCTTATGGGATAGATATAAACATCATTGAAAAAAGGTTCATTCAAATTTCCAGTTGAAAAAAAAAGATATTCAAGTTTTCCCCAGATTTTTTCCGTAATCATCATATCATTTGTTATACTATGGATAGTTGGATGAAATCTTGGAACACATATTCTACGCCCATATTTGTTTAATGTAATTCAAAATTTCAGATCCATCATTCCATATGAACACATCACATTTCACAACCCTCAATACTCCTTCCTCATCATTATATCCCTTATCTCTGGCCTTCTTAACAACCTCAACACATTTATATTTATCCCTCACACAAGCCAAATCTTTCTTTTGAAGTCTTAAAATCGGACAAAAGTCATTAATACCATCACCACAGTACACAATTCTGTTATAGATCAGCCCATTGTTGCCTTGTTCTTTGATGAAATCCTCCATTATTTGCCCCTTGCATAAATTTTTAGTGCTCAGTTTGCAATTGTGCTGGAGATGGTACATTTTGATCTTCAACAAGTCATCCTCAAAATTCGCTGGGTTGGTAAACACCCTTGCTATGCAATTCTGTAAGTCATTTGCCTCTAACCAAGTATTTATGAAATAAGAGTTTGAATCACTTATAATTATAATATCATAGTTCAAGTTTTTGTTGAGATCTTTTATTAGTTCACTCATACCAGGTACCTCCAGCAATGTCTCTATAATTTTTTTTATGTTTGGTTCTCTAATACCATTTTCAAATAATATTTGGAATATTCCTTGCATAAAGGCAGTCCATCCATCAGATCTGTGAAGCTGCTTCACTTCTTGAGGGATTGATTTTTGGTCAATCATATTCATCACTTCAATGTCTGAGTTGCCATGAATGACAGTGTGATCAAAGTCAAATACTGCTAGATTCTTTGTCATCTGAAAAAAAGATTTCAAAGTGAAAACTTATAGTTTCACTTGTCATTTGTTTTTTTTATCAATCACTGATAGCAGCACTGATCCTATTAATTAAGTTTTTGCGTTTCATTTTGCGTTTGCATAGCAGTGGCCCATGTAGGACGACGTGTTAGTAAATGTAAACTCATCAAAAGCTATTCAAGGAATCAAATAGAGCAGGAACGATTGAAAATTTTCATGTCTAATCTTAGTGGAAAGTGAAGGTGCCAACAAATTGAACCTTAACTAACCTAATAAATGAATTTGCAATGTGTATAAAGCAAGAAAAGAATAATTAGAGCTCGTTTAGCTGGTTCTTTTATTTTCAGTTACTATTCCTGATTTGATACTGAAAGGGGGACCTCCTTATGCATTTTGCGTTGGTGCCAAAAAAATCCAGTTACGCCACTGAACTAGTGTATTAGTGAAGTTGATTAATGATATTTTAACATGCCTGCAAAGCCAGCGGGTTAATGTTTGAGATCACTAATCGCCTTTAAATATAGTTGGTTACAACATTTTTTCTTTGACTATATTTTCATTCCTCCTGCAATGAAGAAAACTTGGTTCGTGAATGGGCGTGTACACCTTGGTAGAACTTTTAACTCAAACCATGTTTATAATGATCCTTTCATACATAAATAATGATTGACGACATAATTCGATCAAAAAATTTACTGGAATGTTCAATTTTTGGACATAAATAATAGTACCATCTGAAAACGGACCCTCTTATGACGTAGAAACCTCATCTCGCCATAGTTAAAAGAAGATACCAAACGCCGGACGGAGACTGAGGCAACTGATATACTAATTCTTTCAACTGTGATCTCGCGCTAATTCACTCTGCCAGAAATTATGTATCATTCATCTCTGTCTGGAATAGTCCTGTTTCAGTATTAGGGTTTTGACGTCACATCATCACCTCGTTTTCAGAGGTCCGAAAAATCGGGGATTTCAATAATTTTTTATAAAACGTAGGGAGCTCACAGCGATAAACGGTTTGCGGTGGTGAGCTAGTTTGGGTGAGTTATTTCGAATTATGGAATAAAAATTTTTTGTGATATAAGCCCATTCGTTCATCCCGAAAATACTAATCACCAAGTAGCTTTTGTCACTGACATTAGTGACATTCACCATTTGTTGAAATAGGTAATCAACAAAGAAAATGAATTCCTTTTGTTAGAAAACAGAGATTAAAATCGTTTCATGAACTTGGAAAGGCTAGGCTGAACCATTAACGAAAATCTATGAAATCGATATTTTCGAATTAAATGCAGATTATGTAAGTTATAGCAAAAACAGTGAATGGACTCGGTGTTTATGTTTGTTTGCATATATGCTACAATTGTACATCAAGAGACAAATTTATCATTAATATGGAGTGATAATTCCGTGCATGGCCCCATGCCCCCCCTCCTGCTTCCGCCCCTGGCTACTCATGGTGTTAGGAGCCAAACTCCTCGACTGATTAACATTGATGATGAAAATTTTTGTGCGTATTTGGTAGGTATGAAAATCGGTCTTAAGCTATTTTTCAAATTGAAAATTGCAAGCTGGCGGACGAGTTTTGTAATCCGATTTTATTCAAAATTGATAGCTGGGGATTTTCGAGGTCGAATATTATGGCTATTTCGTCAAAATTTGTAAATTCAATATGGCGGACGAGTTTTGTAATTATGGTCCGATTCTATTCAAAATTGGTATTTGAATGGTTTTCGGAGTCGGATATTATGACTATTTCGTCAAAAGATGGAAATTCAAGATCGCGGATCCAATATGGCGAAAGACTTTTGTAATTATGCCGATTCCGTTCTTTTGTACCTGGGTTTTCTTGGGGTCCGAGATTCTTTCGTCAAAATTTGGAAATTTAAGATGGCGGATCCAATATGATGGACGAGTTTTGTTATGATCCGATTCTAATCAATATTGGTATCTAGGGATTTAAGGGGTGGTAGAACATGATTCTTTCGACAAAATTTTAAAATTCTAGATGGCAGATACAATAAGGCGGTCGAGTTTTATAATTATTGTTCAATTCTACTCAAAATTGGTATCTGCGGGTTGTCGGGGTCGGAGATGATGACTGCTTCATGAAAATTTGGAAATTCGAGATAGCAAATCCAATATGGCTGACGAGTTTTGTAATTATGATTATTTCGTCGAAATTTATTGGAAATTCAAGATGGCGAACGAATTCTTTAACTATGGTTCGATCTATTCAAAATTGCTATCTGGAGGTTTTCGGGTTCGGAGATTATCATTCCTTCATGAAAATCAGGGAGTTCAAGATGGCGAACGTATTCTGTAACTGTGGTCCGATTCTACCTATTCAAAATTGCTATCTGGAGGTTTTCGGGGACGGAGATTATCATTCCTTCGTGAAAATCAGGGAATTCAACATGGCGGATCCAATATGGAGAACGAGTTTTGTAATTATTTATGAACCTATTTTATTCAAAATTGGTATGTGGGGGTATTCGGGGTCGGAGATTTTGATTCTTCCATCAAAATTGGATAATTCAAAATGACGGATCCAATATGCCGGACGAGTTTTGTAATTATAATCTTTGGCTGGAGATTTTTTTGCCAAAATTCGGAGTCCAATAATAGGTATGGTGAATGATAGGCATTATAATAAATAGTAGAGAATAAATTAAATAGATAGCCAAACTAAAAAAAAATAGAAATAAAATGATGAAAGTTTGTTGATGAATATTCAACTGAAAAATATTGTCTAAAAATAATTTATGTTTAGAAAAAAAACATTTGCTGGGTCAGCTAGTATTCTTATAATAGCTCTCATTATCGATTCCTGGTATAATCTACTATTACTACCATGGTAAATTCTACATTCAACATTATTCAACTCGTCTCACCTTTATGCTTGATACAGCTGATTGAGCTTTGAGCTAATGGAATAGACCAACTGCAGCCTATGCTCTACAGTAATTATTTTATTTTAATCCAGAGATGTCAGGAAATTCATCATCTAGTGAATTGAATGCCATAATTATTTATACTTGCAAATTAGAAGTGAATTAGATGAAATATTCAGTAGCTAATGTTTATTAAATCTCTCATCAGGAGAACTGATGAATGATGAAATAATAAACAATTGAAATATTTTGGATTTGGATCAATTTGAGGTTACGTTACGTGCACGTTACGTATTACGGTTACGCGAATATCGTGAAAAGGAAAGAAAGCTATTTAAAGCTGGATATCCATCATACCAAACGAGTGCCTGCAGACAGTTCATGCGCCATCATCCAATATTTGGCTTCCAACGTAATAAGAGGTATCCCTTGCAGTCTGAAAAATTTAACCTTACTCGACCTGTATAAACTTCTTTTAACAAATATAAACTGCCGTGCCGTGCGCCTTGACCCTGTAATATAATAACGGGTGTGAGGTCCATGAATTCTCTTCAATTGCTGTGCCAAATTTTGTGTGGTGAGAGAGTAATACCGTTAGCGCACCATGTTAATTACAGGAGAACGGTGTTTATATTGAGTTCATTGTCTGTGGATAGTTCGGATTCAATCCGAAAGATTGTTTTTTTAATCTATGGTACCTATAAGGACACGGCGAAGTGTCGCAAACAGTAACTAAAATAGTCACAAAAAGTTAGGTTACGTTAACTTCTGTCATGGTGAATTCTCGGTAATCAAATAAACTATGATTTTGTTTATGAGTAACGAAAATATGAGTTGATATCCATTTCGGATGATGATTTGTGCCTCCTTCGTGAAGTTGGCAAAATAAGATCTGTTACTGGAAAAGAATTCATTTAAAGATCACTTGATACTTCTTCTCACAATGTGGAAGAAAAAGTCGGATGCTGACAAATTCAGATAGTTAATAATATATAGATTATACATAGGTAAATCGAAAGTATATTTGTCATTGCTTTAAGGAGATCATAGATCTAAACACACCCAGGAGATATCATACTGTATTATTTTCCAAACATTTTAGAAGTGGCACAGAAGAAGGCTATACTGAAAAAGAACTGCCACAAAAAATATCTAGCCTGTGTTCAGAATTTCGAGTGATTGTTCCAAAAAAGAAAAAAGAATCCAAGGAAAAGCAAATTGCAGAAATAGGCATACAGACCAGGGAACAGCAAGAAAGACATAATATTTTGTATGACCATGACTATTTTGGTAATAATTGTGATAGGCATACATAAAGTTTATTCAATGATTGAATAAAGGAGGGCTTGTCTCATGGCATGATTTGTTGTTTTTTATTCAGATCCTACTTCTATGAGTTTCATAAAATCACCTACCTATAATAGTATATTTAGATCAGACGTTGAACTGTTAACGTGACATATTCGTCGGAAGGTTTTTCCCGTGAAAATTTGAAAACATCTCTTAAAACATTCACTGTCAATTTGTGATCTTTCGTAACGTGTGGTAACTTTTTGTGGCAAATTTAACTTTTTTAAGATTAACTCTAAAAATACTCGATTTTTAAATGAATTAGCCACGGCCGCAGGCGTGGCATGCTGTTGTGCGATGGAAGCCAAATTTTGGATGATGGTGCGGGAACTATCTGCAGGCATTCGTCATACCAACGCCTAGACTAAGTAGAATCCAGGAATTCACGATGAGGGATATTATCAATCCACCCTCAGATGAAGGATGGGAATTCTTCATCTGAAAATTCACCCACATTTCCATTTTCCCACATTTTGGTAGGCCAACTTTTCGCAGGTGCAAATGATAGAAATGTTCATGAACGTGTACAATCACCTTAACATGATTGCGTTTGTCATATGACTTAACGCAACTTCAATGGTCAAAAGTCGACTCCAATAGTCAAAGTCAACTTCAAATTGAGTTTGATTTTTCAAATTTTATATTTATAACTGCCAAACTGCCAGTTCCCACATTCGGCACTTACCTAGTTCATTCTCTGATAATCCCAACATCCCAATATCCGATCCTTCCTCGACGTTGCTTCCAAGGAAGCATTCTGTTTTGAAGGCGAAAAAATCAATTTCTTGTGCTCGAAGTTCAGTGAAAATTGGTGAATATGTCTAGGGAAGAGGATCTCCAAGTGATACCTGATATTATTTATGATGACCATACGAAAACTAAATATAAAAAAGGACGTTTTTTCGGCAAGGTATTCAACTATGCTTTCATGAACTTTTTATTACTCATTGCTAGTCACCTCTATATTTTTTGTGGTTATCAGTAAATTGAATAATATTTCATCGATATAGGAGTTTTCTCCGGATTTTTGCTCTAGAAATTTCAAAGCAGTGTTTGTATTCCACCTTTTTAAATTTCAGGGTGGATTCGCAAAATGTTATGAGATAACAAATGTCGCCAACAACCAATCATATGCTGGCAAAATAGTATCTAAAAAATTGATGGCCAAACAAAACCAAAGAGAAAAAATGACACAGGAAATCCAGATCCATCAGTCCCTGAGAAATAAGAATGTTGTTGGCTTCTATAATTTTTTTGAAGATCAGTACAATATTTACATAGTCCTAGAGTTGTGTAGAAAAAGGTCTATGATGGAACTCCACAAAAGAAGGAAAGCTCTAACTGAACCTGAAACTAGATTTTATATGAAGCAAATCCTGAGTGGTGTTCACTATCTCCATCACAATAGAATTATCCATAGGGATTTGAAACTAGGAAATTTATTTTTAAATGATGACTTGATAGTGAAGATAGGTGATTTTGGATTAGCTGCTAAGATTGAATATGAAGGGGAGAGAAAAAAGACTCTTTGTGGCACTCCAAACTACATAGCTCCTGAAATTCTGAGCAAGAAGGGCCACTCCTTTGAAGTAGACATTTGGTCTATTGGTTGCATCATGTATACATTGCTAATAGGAAAGCCACCCTTTGAGACAGCTACCTTGAAGGAAACTTATGCTAGAATCAAGAAATGTGAATATAAGTAAGTACATTACTTAGTTATTATAAAATATATCTGAAGTTTTGATTCCACTCACCTTCAAGTGTGTTTTAGAATAACTGCTAACATTTCTGGTTATGCCCAGCACATGATAATGCTGATGCTGCAATCTGAACCTAAGAGTCGCCCCAAGGTAGAGATGTTGATCCAACATGATTTTCTAGTGAATGGATATTGTCCTGCTAATTTGCCTGTTAGTGCTCTTACAATGGCCCCAAGGTTTGACAAGGTTGATACTTCTATGAGAAAACCACTGCTTGAAATCAATACTGGTGAGAAATTTATTCATTCATTTATTCATCTAATAAATACCTTCCTGACAAAATAAGATTTGGTATCAGGAAGTACATAACACTGTTTTTTATATGGTCAGGTTCCATTTGCAGTCAGGTAGTTTATTGAATTCACTTAGGGCTACATGAGCCAATCTTTTATTTTTCAGTATGGAGCTAGCTGTATCAATGTTGAACAAGTTGTATTGTCTAGTTTCATGATTATGAATTTCAGAATAAAATTCCACTTATATTTGTTATTCATGATATTATATTATGTTTTCAAAGTTTCTATTCTATATATTTCATCTAAAGAATATGTATTTGTTATTGCATACAATTGATTGGTTGGTGTATCATATGAAAGATAGTACTTTCAAGGACTCTTTATATAATGCTGGTATTTAATTGAAATTATTTTTTGAACAAGATCCCCAAATATTTATTGAATTTTTGATCAAACCTAGTTTATGAGAGTAGAGAATCATGGTTGCATTGTTGATGTCAAGTTTGGGACATCTTCTCACTGCCCAAGTTTTGATCAAACCATATTCCAAGATATTTCATTTGTTTGTTTGTTTTGAGAGTTCATTTCTCTTATTGAGATTGAGGTAAATTTTTTGTTAGTTTTTTTCTTGTTGAAAAATCATATATTCTGTTTTATTAGTATTTATCAATAAAAGGTTAGAGTGGAGCCATTTTTCAAATATTCTCAAGTCTTCATTCATCATATTTTCTAAATTTGAAAGGTTTTTACTTTCATATAAAAGTACTGTATCATCTGCATACATGGTATATTTAATCACTAGACCAATTTCATATTTTGAACATAAAGTGAATATAGTAAAGGTCCTAAAACAGATCCTTGTGGAGCCCCCTTACTAATTGGTAGTTTATTTGACACTGAGTTGGTGAATATCCTACTGATTGTCCTATTTTCAAGATATGAATTCAAAACATTTATCACAGTGCCTCTGAGTCCCATTGATTCTAAATTTTATAAAATTGTTGTATGATCAACTGTGAAGAAAGCCTTTTTGAGATTCATGAAAACAGCTACTACATAATTTCCTGAATCAAGTCTTTTCTGGATTGATTCTGTCACTTGTAATACTGGCAATATTTTTTGTTGATGGACTCTACAATGCACTTTTTGAGATTTTTTTTTGGAAATTTTAGAAAATGCACTTATTGAAGCTATTGGTCTGTACTTTGTGGAATCCTGAGCATCTCCACTTTTATAAATAGCTCTTAATGATGCATGTTTCAACTCATGTGGAAAAATTTCTTCTATGAAACATTCATTGAACAATTTTGATATTGATATAGCTAAAATGTTTTTCAAAGTTCCCTCATCATATATTCAAAATAAACAAGGGAAACATACAAACAAAGAAAACATACCTACCCTGTTTGAGAATTTGTATCTCAAAACTCACCCTGGAAACTATTCCCAAATAGATGAAAATTATGTGGAATTATACAATCACCGGCAGAAAAAAACGGCCATCAAAAAATTTTGCCAAATTGTTCGCCCTGTAACTTTTTTAATTCTTGTCCCATTCTGGTAAAATTTGGACCAAATCCTATATTCATAAATCGGAATGTTAGCCTGGATATCAGGTCCTGACAGAAGCTGACGGCTTGATCATTATACAGGGAAAAACAAAAGTTACTTTTCACCCTTTACTTCCTGACACCCTGTGGAAAAGGTGAGTGGTTGAACTTAGCATCATTATGTTTTCAATAAAAGTGTGATCCCTTCTTAACACAATGGTACTTGATTTAAGTCCATAACCATTTTTTAAGAGAATATACAAGTGTTTGAAGAAAGTACGTATTTTTTAAAATTTTTATTAACCATAATTCAGAACCTACAGGGTGTCCGGAAATTATGCGCGAAAAATCAAGGGGGTGATTCTGCATGGGTCCGGAAATGCATAGTTTCCAAGATACAGTCTGTTGAAGTTTAGAAAAAAAATATTTCTCTCATGAGGGGCTGATTTACCCAAAATTAAATGAATTGTAGAATCCAGTGGCGTCCCGGGGGCACCCTAGCGAATATTATTGTCAATAAAATGTGCGCCACTGATTTTTTTGAATTCTGTATTTTCATATCCTATTGACCAACTGAAAATGCAACATTTTGGTCTCCTGAATTTTTTTGATATTCTGATTCGATTCCGCCCTGACGAATTGCTATAAATGTTCTTGAGATATTACAATTTCGATAGAAAGCTACAGCTATATACAGGGTGTCCCAATATTGCTGGGACACAGAGCTACCACGTGTAGAGGAGGTCAAAATAAGTTGATTGGACCCAATTTATTTATTTGCCAAAATGTACCGTTTGTCCGTGAGAAGGGTTCAAAGTTCACTTGAAAAAACACATTTCTGTACGCTGTTCAGGAATAAGTGAAACGAATTTGATGAAATTTGGCAAAAGTGTATTTCAGAGGATTACTTTCCTTTTGGTAATCTAAGAAACCTGAAAGAAATTGTAAAAGGGTTGAAACCACCCTCACCCCCTGACGTTTTCTTCAGAACTTTTTTAAGGGTCATGATACGGTTCTGAAATTTTTTGAGCTTGAAGACTCATCAATTACCTTCATTTAATCACTCGTGTAAAAATTTCGTATACCAAATAGTTTCGAAGAAAAAAAATGTTCTCTCAAATAATGCTACCAGATATTCCTATAGTACAAGTTTAATTAAATTGTGATATAAAACTTAGTTGGCAGTGGAAACGAAGGCAAGTCGTAATTTCGACAGGAAACAAATTTATTGTCATTCAAGTTTGTTGTTGACGTTGTCTGTAAATGTTTCAATAAATTCTTCAATTTTGTTATTACCGCGGGTACCATTACTATAGGAATATCTGGTAGCATTATTTGAGAGAACATTTTTTTTCTTCGAAACTATTTGGTATACGAAATTTTCACAAGAGTGATAAAATGAAGCTAATTGATGAGTCTTCAAGCTCAAAAAATTTCAGAACCGTATCATGACCCTTAAAAAAGTTCTGAAGAAAACGTCAGGGGCTGAGGGTGGTTTCAACCCTTCTACAATTTCTTTTAGGTTTCTTAGATTACCAAAAGGAAAGTAATCCTCTGAAATACACTTTTGCCAAATTTCATCAAATTCGTTCCACTTATTCCTGAACAGCGTACAAAAATGTGTTTTTTCAAGTGAACTTTGAACCCTTCTCACGGACAAACGGTACATTTTGGCACATAAATAAATTGGGTCCAATCAACTTATTTTGACTTCCTCTACACGTGGTAGCTCTGTGTCCCAGCAATTTTGGGACACCCTGTATATACAGTGTGTCTCACTTCTAATGGAAAACACCCCCGTATCTTACGTAATCGTTGGGTGAGGATCCTGAAATTTGCTGGAGCGAGAAATATATCAAAGTGCGGTCATCTTCAGTGATATACACTGCTCGCCAACTGCCATGAAACCACCCCAATTTCCGGAAAATGACATTAGGAGTCGAAATAGGTTGAAAATCATTTCGGATTCGGAATCAGGACGCCCAAAACACTAACTATTCATAGTTTTCCTGGGATTTTTTGAGTTCTGAAAATTTTATTTTTGTCTTACTTTTCATGGAAATACCCCCTTATCCCACGTAATCGTAGGTTTAGGATAATACATTTGCTGAAGCGAGAGATATATCGAAAATGTACTCTATGACCAAGCGGGGTCATCTTCAGTGATATACACTGCTCGCCAACAGCCATGGAACCACCCCAATTCCCGGGAAATGATATCAGCAGGAAAAATTGGTTGAAAATCACTCCGGATTCGGAATCAGGACGCCAATACACTAACTATTCATAATTTTCCTGGGAAATTTTCAGTTCTGAAAATTTCATTTCTGTCTCACTTTTCATGGGAACATCCCCATATCTTACGTAGTTATCAATTCTAGAACAGAAACCAGCCACAGACCAACCGACATTCCAGGAGGAAAAATTCATTAAATTGGAAAATTCACACAATGGTTGTTCTGAAATTGATAATCATAAAAAGTCAGTTCTCATCAGGGATAGTGAAATAACAATCAGTACTAGTTCAATCGAATAGATTATTAGGAGTGATCCAATGAATCAGAAATTATGAGTGGTGTCATTGAAATGAATTATGAATGAATGAATTCGGTAATAGAATTAGGAAAATCGTAAACGATAATAATGCGTCAAAATATGGAAAGTGGAAGTGTAGTTCCACGACTGTTGGCGAGTAGTGTTTATCACAGAGTGCATTTTTGGTATGTCTCTCGCTTCAGCAAATTTCAGGATCCTTACCCAACGATTATGTAAGATACATGGGTGTTTCCATTAGAAGTGAGACAGGCTGTATATGGAATATTTTGAAACTGCGTTCCTTCGTATCAAATGAATAACCTGTGATTTTTATTTTTGTTCCTTTTTCTTGAGAAACAACAACTGAACTGTGTAACTGAGTTGCTCTGTTTTTCTGTTACTGCATAAGTGTGTAGTTTTGGAAATCATGTCATGATTGGACGAGGTCTGCGTAGATATTACATAAGTTATTAGAAATTTCATCTTCGTTCATCTGCCATATGTTTTCTGAAGAAGTACAGTGTGTCCAGTTTTCGATGCTTTTGCCTGATATCTCAGTTATCTTTGGAGATAGAACCTTGAGGTTTTCGCGGTCCTGTGCCACTTTTTTGTGAATCTCAAGATGGCCTTATCAGATTTTGCAAGACTGTTTCCGTTTATGAGATACAGGGCGATTTTGAAAATTTATACTTTTTGGACCCCCTCTATATCCACGAAGTTTCTCAACAAAAATGTCGAATCAAAATCTTATCGCATAAAGAATTTCACGCATAATCCAGTAGCGCACTTAAATGTTTTTTTCGGAGTATGGTTTTGGAGATGCGACTCAAACTTATGATTTTTCAAATGGAACACCCTGTATTTCATAAGCTCGTTAAATTCCTTATTTTACTGTCTTCAAAATGATATATAACGAAAGAATATAAAATTTTCAAAATTGCTCAAAAAACTAAAATATTGAATTTTATTGGTAGTTGGTTATGGATTTTTCTTATAAAAAACGTTCCAATTGAAGACATATTTCTTCAAATTTTTTCATGGAGAAGTCAGAACCAATATCAACACTTATAAATTAACAAAACACTAAACTTGGGTACCTGATAGCAACAAATAAATAGTAATAAAAAGTTCATAATGAAGAATAAGCACCTGATTGAATATTTACTAAAATAATTGAATTCCGGAATTATTCAGTAGCTTATTCATTGACATGTTCAAATTGATATCCATTTTCCTTAACATACAGTTGACAAACTTTCTTAATAATTCTTAATACAGTGAGTGGCCCAACATACTTGAAGAACTTTGTGCAACAACAGAGGCAGTTTTCCAGGAATTACAAAGACATCTCTCAATGATCAATATGTATTGAGAAAGTTTGTGATAAAAAATGGACATCAATTTGAACAATTCAATGAATAAATCACTGAATAATTTCGAAATTCAATTGTTTTAGTAAATATTCAATCAGGTGTTAATTCTACATTATAAACCTTTTATTACTATATATTTGTGGATATCAGGTATCTGTCTTGTGTATTGCAAGTTAATTAGTGTTGAAATCGTTATTAACCCTTTATGGAACAATCAAAGGAAATATTCCTTCAATTGTGAATTTCTTTATATGAAAATTCCTCGAAAACCCCATAGCCCACTATTAAAATTCAATGTTTTAGTGAATCTTGAACATTTTTGAAAATGTTATATTCATACATCATATATCATTTCGAAGGAAAAAAAATAAGGAATTTAATGAGCTTATAAAATACATGGTGTTCAATTTAAAAAATCATAAGTTTGAGTCGTATCTTCAAAACCACACCCCGAAAAAAAAAATTCTGTGCGCCACTGGATTCTGCATAAAAATCTCTATGGGTTAAGATTTTAATTTGACATTTTCGCTGATAAACTTCGTAGATAAAGAGGGGGTCCAAAAAGTATAAATTTTCAAAATCGCCCTGTATCTCATAAACGGAAACAGTCCTGCAAAATCTGATTAGGCCATCTTGAATTTCACAAAGAAGTAGCTCAGGACCGCGAAAACCGCAAGGTTCTATCTCCAAAGATAACTGAGATATCATGCAAAAGCATCGAAAACTGGACACACTGTACATTGCACGGAAATTTTATAGTTCCTATTTTCTTTCCACTATATATTTTTTCACGTCTCTTAGTTCTGTCCTATACAAATTATCATCAGTTTTACCAACCTTGCCTGAACTGAATGGTTTGATGAACAATAAATGATTAATTGAGACTGAAATATCTAACATTCAATGTATCATTAATAAAGGAAATATCAATATGAACATATCTGTTATCACTGGTTTTGTGCAATATTGTTTTCAATTTATATGTGCTGAAATGTTGGCATTGTAAATTTCAACTATCTTTTCTTTCTAGGAGATGCTATGATGACCTCCCCAAACAGAAAACATGATTCTATTGCTGCTGGAGCAGTAATGTCTTCTGTTTTCACATTTGATGCAAGAAGCAATTTCAATAAACTTAAAATGATGTTATTGAAGGTGAGCTGGTTCTATCATTTTTTTAAAATTATTTCAATTATATTTAGAAGAACAAAAAAATCATTAGTAGTATATCCCAAAAAGCAATTAATCAAAGCCTTTTAGTCCAGTTTACAACTCAGTTGATAATAATAATAATAATCTCCTAAGATTATCCTATTCCTAATTAAAGGTTATCATTGGTATTAGGAATAGTTCATCTGTGGATTTCAAATTCTGTGCTTTTTATATTGTACTATTGTATCTATCCTAATATTAATAATTGATTTTGAGTTCTTTAAATTCAAAAATAGTAATAAATCATATTCACAAAGCAAATAGTAAATATTGGTATATAGTATAAGTGAATTTATATAAATAGAAAATTGAAATACATATTGCTGAATATCTAGCAAAGTTTTCAACAAATTGATGAAATCTGGTAGCTTTCCATCTGAATTAAGAGAACATGTAATTTATGAGAGGACTTGTTCTTGACTTCAAAGAACTTCTTGATCAAATGCTCCTCCAAACACAGAACTGTGAGAAGATTTACGATTTTTCAACTCTGAATGCCCCAATGTTCAGTTCATTTTTTTTTCAAGGTATTGAAATCAAAACCTGCCAGGAATCAAAAATTCCTCGACGAGAATACTGATCCGGCAGCCCAGCCTATGGTGTGGGTCTCAAAATGGGTAGATTACTCTGATAAATATGGCTTTGGGTACCAGCTGTCAGATGAAGGTGTTGGTGTCATGTTCAATGATACCACCAAACTCATCATGTTGCCCAATGGACTGTGAGTATCAAAAACATTCCCTTAATGCTGTTGAAATTATTTCAATATATCTTATAAACATAAGGACAGCTTTGTATGTGAAAACACCTTGTATTTGTTTTTTCTGCAGGACTGGAACAGTTTCACAATTATCTCACTACATGGCTTTACTACAGCTTTACACTAAACTGCATACCACCTCAACATGTTCTGCTAACTATTCAAGCATCTTCAGGAAAATATTGAAACTGAAATATCACTTATATTTCAAGTTTGAACTGTTTAATTCGTCAATTTATTGCAGGCAAAAACATGTATCAGAACTTTTGATATGTATATACGTATAGGTTGGTATATGACCCGATATACACATCTATTTAATGCTTTTGTGAGGTATTCTGTGGTCGTGGCAAAGCCGAACACTGTTGAGTCGTTTTAGGTATTTGGTATATTACTATGCAGCATTTTCCACAAAACCACCACTATGGCCAGCATGAAGTACAATAAATCGTTTCCCATGATAACCTTCTGCTTTACTAACACTTTTTGTACTTTGATCTTGCCATGATCTCATCTTATTCCCTTTCGCAAATATCCAAGTTTCATATAAGAAGACAATTTGTCTAGGGTAACTAGAATTGCGATTTTCATAAAACTTTCTGAAAAACTCTGCTCTCAATATGGATATGTCCGTCTTCTCAACCAATAATCGTCTGTTGTCTTCTTTTTTATAATTGAGAGAATAATCTTTATTGTCTAAAATGTATTACAGTTCGTCGACAAAGGTATAACATATATATAAAAAACGAACTATTATAAAAGAAACAAGACTAAAAAATATTTACATGAAGGGTATAATACGGTACGGTACAAACATGTTTTCACAACTACAGTTTATTAAAATCTTGATGTAGATAGTAAAATTTATATAGAAAAACTAGAAATTATAATAAAATACTCTTTCAAACTATAAAAGCACTTTCCCATCACAAGGTTTTTTACCGATTTCCTAAATTGCCTCTGATCATTGATTGCTGTTATTTGTTTCGGTAAATGATTATATATCTGTCTACTTCTATAGATTTGAGAATGCTTGGTTAATGTTGATGTGGGGAGTGGAAGGACAAGTATTATCTCCTTTCGTATTTGAATCCTACATTTGTGAGGAGTTTGCTAAATGTGCCTATACTTGCGTCAAGAATATGTTTGGTTTTGAGTTCTTCTTTCAAAATTCTAACAGTGATATGTTTTTTTGTAAAATAGTCAGTTGAAGTTAGTGAGTCAAGAAGTATCAAATGAAATCACTTTTTTTCTGCATACATAGTATATATAGATCATATTCCGTACTTCCATTTTAAAATTATCATCCAGATCTACTGTCTTGGTTTTTTTTTAGTCCTAGATTTCCCTGGCGTACTCAAACTTTCGTTTCTCTCAGAACGTACTTTAATACTGGAAACTGCCCGCAGACTAGTATTGAGGGCATCAGCGACACGCTGAAAGTATGTACATCATGATGATATGCTTGAAGTAAGGTCTGACTATTTTTATTATTGATCAGGAAGAATTATGATTCACCTGTTGTATGGAAGTAAACGGGATCAAAGGACCATTATTATCTTTCTCTCTTGTGAAATATTGTCACAAATTCGATACAGGACTTCGTGCTTGCGAATTCAAACGTCTTCCTGGCATGTTGAATATCATTTGACAATGGCCACGCAAAACGATTTCATTTCAGCACCTACTGCCTGAATTAGCCGATTCAAATGTGTCTCGACATAGGAACACCTCTGTATTCAAGCTTTTGCCCCGTTGAGTTCAAAAACAATGTCGTAACTTATGTCAACAAACGGCATGATAGATAGATATGCAAGTCTGAAGAGGATAGCAAGATGCGCGTAGGTCTATGCTAATTTCAGTCACAGGCGAAGAAATATTATACAGACTGTTATATGGTAAAGACGGTATTGATCCAATGCGTCCTCTCTAGGAACGTCCACTACGTGGACAGGAACGGCGATGAGTCCTACATGACGGTGGACACCTACCCCAAGCAGTATGACAAGAAGATGAAGCTGCTGTCGTACTTCAGCCGCTACATGCGCGAACACCTGCTCAAGACGGGCGCCTCTGTGGTGAAGGAGATCGATTCGATGTCGCGGACGCCGCATCTGCACCAGTGGTGTCGGTCGACGTCGGGGGTGCTGATGCAGCTCAACAACGGCACAGTGCAGGTTAGCGTCCTTTGGTTTTCGTATGAAAGTGACTTTCACGATCTCAACACTAATTGAATCGGTGAGAATAAGAACAGTACAAGTCCAAAATTTGACATTTCGAACTGGAATAGCCATTTTGTCTGTAATACGAAGCTGCATCGAATGAGTCGAGAAACAGTATTAATATCACTATATCAAGGCTTATGAAGGCGCTCATCGTGAAGCGTTGAGTGTAAGAACAGAACAACTTTACAGAGAGTTTTTCTTGTTTTCCCAAAACTGTAACATTTGGACTTGTACTGTTCTTATTCTCACCGATTCAATTATTCCAAATGAAGTCGTTGAAGATTACACGGCAATACGCTGAATGTCCTATTTTACAGTATAATAGAATATAAAGATTTATTTAACCAAGGTAGGTGATTCATAACTTACAGGGTCATTCCATTACACGGCAATACGCTGAATGTCCTATTTTACGGTATAATAGAATATAAAGATTTATTTAACCAAGGTAGGTGATTCATAACTTACAGGGTCATTCCGTATATTTGAACAGCTTCTACAGGGTTCATCACTGAAGATAGAGAAAAACTTCGAATGTGAAAGTTGTAGGGTTTGTTCTGAATATCCAGAAAATTATACCAGATGAAACAATTGAATATCGCTGATGTAAGAAATAGGTACCAACTTCGTTATTTTCAATGGAACACCCTACATATTTTTCGAAAAAATTCAAGATCTTTTCTTCCTGATTCCAAAATATATTGGTCATTGATATTTGGTTCAGCCGTTTTCGAGATATTCGAGGTTGCAACTGCCAGAAAGAAAAAAAAAACGCACTTTTATAACTGAAGGAGATGCAATTTCACAGATGTTCGATGTGACCACCCTTTATCCAATTCATTTATCGAATTGCAAATGGAGTTGAAGTGATGATTGTTCAATATGATAATGCATTCCAAAATTCTTCCTCCCAAATCAGCCAAATTTCTACTTCTTTCCTTATACACGTCATTCTTCAAATAGCGATATAGGAAGTTATCTAAAGGTGTTCAATCTTTACTGTTCGGCGGCCATTCCACATTCCAAATTTTCTGATCTACGTTTGATAACGATCATTCAAGTGATGCCGCACGGGCATAATATAATATATATCACATATATACACTGTTGATGGCTTTTGTTATGCTATAGTCCTTTTATCTTCCATTCGACTTCACGGTTATGTATATTACTAAACAACCAATAAATTCGCAATTTTTTTAAATCAAATCACAGAATTATACAGAAGTGACATCAGATATTTGATTATTTCGAAAGAATGATAAAGATGCCTACAACACAGGTGTCCCTACTGTTAAAAACTTGAAGTTTCACGTCGATAATTTTCAGATTTCAAAATAATGTAATATCTTCTCAATATTGATTCGTCCTTTCTTCTGTCACAGATAAAAATCGTGTATTATACACGGGAAAAATATTAGATTTTAACTCACGGTTTTTTGTCTCCCTCTGCTACGCGTCGGGAGACAACACAACCTGGAGCTGAAATCTACTCTTTCTTTCCCTTGTATAATGAATAACTATTTATTAACATTCATTTATGCAGGGAATTTCAATCTGGTAGCTTCCACCGTTTAGAATTTATGCGGAAAAATGTTTTAAATTTAGTCAACTTTGGAAGGATATATCTCCCTTAATATGCATTTTGAGCCATAAGTTTATTTGTTTATTTATCAAAATATACCTATTTTTTAACATACTATCACCTCCAGAAGGCTCGGTACACATTTTTTACTCACCCTGTATACCTATACCTACCTACCATAGGGAATGGAACACATTTTGAATGAATCAATACTCAATTGCGTACTTGGTTTATTTTCTATTCAATAATATCAAGAAATGAGAACAGTGAAGTTATGCAGAGAATGAGGTATTTCAAATTGCCAACATTATGTTAGCACCAGTTGCTTCATCTCTTTTTTTTCATGCTTCATTAAACATAGTTGCCATATTAGCAATTCAATTGAAAAGCATCTCACTGTTAGATGCCTGCATCACATTTTATCCTAGCTTATCTTGAAACTACCGGGATATTTCGGAGTTCAAAGTAAATAGAATGTGATCAGCAGAGAATTACCAATCAAGTAATCACTTACTACATAGTAATTCCGAATCATGGCACCATCTTGCACCTAAGAACAATTGAAGGATTATATAGAGACCTGGCAACAGCGGCGTGCTACCCAGCCGTCACAAAACCCAACCAATCGAATTGCAAGATCACAGCTCAGTAGTGCTTGAATTCACAGGTATTGAACTAGCACTTTCAGTATACAGTAATTCGTTTATTCTTCGATTTTCACGATAAATATGTGGTCAGGATAACGTTTTTGACTTACCTTACATAACATTATAGCGAAAAAGGGTTTCACGATACTGGAAAGGCATATTAATACAATGGGCTTATTATATCACAAAAAAAATTCATTTCATAATTTGATAGAACTCACCCAAACTAGCTCACCACCGCAAACCGTTTCTTGCTGTGAGCTCTCTACGTTTTACGAAAAATTATTGAAATCCCCGATTTTGCGGACCTCTGAAAACGAGGCGATGATGTGACGTCAAAACCCTTATACTGAAACAAGACCATTCCAGATAGAGATGAATGATACATGATTTCTGACAGAGTGAATTAGCGCGAGATCACAGTTGAAATAATTAATATATCAGTTGCCTCAGTCTCCATCGGGCGTTTGGCATTTTCTTTTAACTATGGCGAGATGAGGTTTCTACGTCATTAGAGGGTCCGTTTTCAGAAGGTACTATTATTCATGCCCAAAAATAAAATATTCCCAGTTAATTTTTCGATCGAATTATATCATCAATCATTATTTATGTATAAAAGGATCAAGGATCATTATAAACATGGTTTGAGTAAAAAGTTCTACTAAAGTGTACACGCCCATTGTATTACATAGGATACTCCTGGATCCGCCACTAAACAACCCCCATCTGATTGTTTTTTCCATTTTTTCAGATGAATTTTGGAGATCATACAAAAATAATTATGTGCCCTCTGATGGCTGCCATCACCTACATCGATGAAGACAGATCGTTCCGCACATTCAAATTCGACAATATCGAGAATCACGGTTGCAGCGTTGGTCTATACGACAAAATGCGTTACGCCTACGACAAAATCACTGTACTTTTAGAAACACCATAGATCCATTATATATCTCTTTGAAAATAGGGTTTGAATATCACGAGTCGGGTGAGTGGAGGCCCATACAGGGTATTTCAAAATGCACTACAACTATTTTAGGGCGCATTTTTGACATCCATTTGTTATAATTGTTTTTTCAGCAGGATGATTTAAATGAAGGACGTAGGTACTAGGTTATACAGTCTGACTGGCAAAAAACGCACCAAGCCATAGCACTGCTATTAACATAATATATACAATGCCATTTGAAAAAGAAGTCGACAATCGATGTCCTTGGTGTTGAAATTGGAAGAAGAAATTGTTGTTAGTGTCACCTTGTTTTTCAAAATCGGATAGTTTATAACGACAGTATGGCTTGGAGCGTTTATTTCTTTGTTGACTACCTTTGAGGCAATCATCAAAATTGTAAAAACTTACACAGTGGCATTGATGCGATAAAAATTTGGTATGTTTTGGGTCAAAAACGGAGTAAAGTTGCAATTTAGTGGCATAAATGATCCAGCCTTTTCATTTCTTGCATTTTTTTTATACAACCAACCGTGTTTGAGAAAGGTGGTGCAGGGCATATTAATAAAAAAGTTGCATTTTCACCTCAAAAATATGCCCTTGAAATCTCTGTAGTAAAATTTGAAGTATCCTTTTGTGAGCTTTAATGAATAGAGTACTTATATATTTTCCCAAACATGTTCAGTTAGTATCGATTTTAATCAAGTCTTTTTTTAAATTGTATTGTGAAATTTTTTTGTCAAAAATGTATATCTTTTCGTTTTCATTCCTTTTTATTATACACCATAAGCACCATCTGATGTATCCTGATGATATGAAAACACTAGTACTTTGAGGTTTCCTAATTGAATCGTTCAGTAGAACATCAATAAAAATTCAAAATTTGGGATAGCTCATCATGTATATAAAAATATACGGTGAGGACCAGAAGTCCTTCGCCCTTCCATCTTTATTTTACATATTACAAAAAATGTTAGATGCATAAGTTTTAAGGTTTCATTTGATCTATTTATTGGTTCAAGATTCATTTATACAGAGTGTCTGCAAAAAGCGTAGGACACACTATACAGGGTGTCCGCTAAAAGGAGGTCAATCCATTAACCATATATTCCTTGAACAAAAACAATATGAGTTTCTAAATACCATTTTCCATTATAGCCCTTCATATTCGATATACAGGGTGTCGTAGTTGGAAATTAAAAGCTGTTTTTTTCTAATTACTCGCGTATGTAATAAGACATCAATCTCAAAATTGGTACATTACTTCAGCACAAAGAGTTACATCGTGTGAGGAGAACAAAACAGAAAAAAACTGTCCAATATTCAAAATACTGGGGGTCAAGTACACATTTGCCCTCATATTTTTTTGTAATGACTTCCTATCTATTTTTCTCCAAGTGTACAATCATTTTTGAGTATTTTTTGTGTCTTGTAAAATTGCGATAAAATCATTTGTTTTTAAGATAATTCGAAAAGTACTGGTTATTGTTTGATGCCTATGCGGCTTACGGTAATCTCATAATGTTCACATACTCCCATTTATTTCGTAGAAATTGGAAGAGGGCGTAACTTTTTACGTACGAAAAGGTAAATATGGAAATACCGGGTGCTCAGAGCGAATGTACTAAAATTATTTTTTCCAAAAAAAAAAAAATGAAAAAAAGTGGACACGTGCCGAATAAAATTTTGTTGCCAATCGCACGGCGTGAATTTTTTTTTTCGCTCTGAACACCCGGTATTTCCATATTTATCTTTTCGTACGTAAAAACTTACGCCCTCTTCCAATTTCTACGAAATAAATAGGAGTATGTGAACATTATGAGATTACCGTAAGCCGCATAGGCATCAAACAATAACCAGTACTTTTCGAATTATCTTAAAAACAAATAATTTCATCGAAATTTTTCAGGATACAAATAATACTCAAAAAGGATTGAACACTTGAAGAAAAATATATAGGAAGTCATTAGCGCACGTACAAAAAAAATATGGGGGTAAGTGTGCACTTGACCCCCAGTATTTTGAATATTTGACAGTTATTTTCTGTTTTGTTCTTCTCACAAGATGTAACTCTTTGTGCTGAAGTGATGTACCAATTTTGAGATTGATATCTTACTAAATACGCAAGAAATTAGAAAAAAATAGTTTTTAACTTTGACACCCTGTATATCGAATATGAAGGGCTAAAATGAAAAATGGTATTTAGAAACTCATATTGTTGTCGTTCAAGGAATATATGGTTGATGGATTGACCTCCTTTTAGCGGACACCCTGTATATCATCGCCATTTTTATATTCTATATTGAATTAAATAAGTGATGGATGATTTTATATCTTGAAAAAAACAGTTTTGGAATAATGAACATTATTATATTTATTATTATTATTATGAAATTATTATTTCAACTATTTTTGCACCATTTCCGAGAGGAAACCGTAAAAAATTAAACACAATGTATTTCACTCTCCTATCCTAGCTTTTTGAAAACTTTTTACATTGTTTGTAATGTGTAAAATGAGGAAGTGACGAGCAGGGGGCGATGGACTTTAGGTCCTGTATAAGCACCTTTTCCTCAACTCACTCCCTCTCGTTCAGTATTTATTGTCGATTGTTCAATGGCAATACTCCTTTTTTTTACTTTTTCTATCAGAATGAATGAGTGTTTATAAAAAAGGTATTTGTTCATGTTGATTTGTGAAAAAACTTGCTAAGTTTGTTTTTTATGTATGATATACTTTAGTCGCCAATAAAATTTATTTTAATACCCTTTTTTTTTCATTCTTGATTTCTCAATTTCATTTTCAAATTTCAATTTTAGAATACGCTCTCTTCATTTGAAATATTTTCAGTAATGCAGTGATGCGGCTTCTATCAAAAAGTAGCAACAACTTTTGTTATTACAAATACAGTGTCTTTCAAAAGTATCGGAACGGTCTCATATTTCAGGAACGACTTGGGAAAAATTCACGAAATTTTCTACAGGGTGATTATTGATGATGTCCGATTCAATGGTGGCATCGGCATTGTTGCCAAGTTTACAGTTTTTCAGATATTTAGGATAACTCAATTTTTTCAAATGGAATACCCTATTTGTTTTCATTGCAATACATTCAGCGACGCCTCATTACTTATGTCTCCAAATATCAGATTTTAAATTGAAGTGGTTTTCGAAATATGACAACATGGCATTTTCGTTCAAAAGTCTGGGAACCTTCTAATATTTTCAATAATGTTCAAGAAAAATTCATGAAATTTTATACAAGATGGTTTCTGATGATGCCAGATTCAATGGTGATATCGGCAATGTTACCAAATCAATAGTTTTTCAGATATTGATTGCAACGAAAATAAATAAAGTTTTCCATTTGAAAAAATTTAATTACCAATCGGACATCATCAATAATCACCCTGTAGAAAATTTCGTGAATTTTTCTCAAGTCGTTCCTGAAATATGAGACCGTTCCGATACTTTTGAAAGACACTGTATGTAGTTGCCAATAAAATTTATTTTCATAATATTTTGATACCCTTTCATTCTCCTTGATTCCTCAATTTAATTTTCAATTTTATTTTGAATATCAATAAAACTTTTTTTTCAATCCCTTTGGAGGCGGTATACAGGGTATGTCACGACGAGCTTATTACACTATCTCCATATTGAGAATCAGTCGGGAGAAATCCATGGAAATATATGCATGCTTATATTTTATTAGAATACGCCCGCTCATTTAAAATATTTTCAGCAATGTAGTGTTGCCGCTTCTATCAAAAAGTAGCAACAACTTTGTTGTTACAAATAGAATACCCTGGTATGTATAAATTCACATGATCCACACGTCTAGAATATTTTAAACAAAGCGGCGTTGCCACTTCGACTAGAAAGTAGCCAGCAACTCTGACTTTTCAAATGGAACACCCTGTATTTTATTGCATTTTTAGATCCTCCCTGAGGAGCTGAATCCATCGATACATAACACTTGAGGTCTGTGTCGGAAATGATTACAGAGATATAGGGTGTTCAAAATCAAGGACTTTACGATTTGTTTGTGTCGAAACTATTATCGGCCGAAACAGCTGACATGCCCCTATCTCAACTTCTGATTTACTATTTACTGATATTTAATCGGAACAGATAACAGATACAAATTCTGAATCTCGAACCACCTGTATCTGTTCCGATTAAATATCGGTAAATACACACACCGGCACAATTAAGGGAACGGGCAAACTTTACACGTTTGACATCAAATTTTTCTTGAACTCATCGCTTGATTTCAATTTTTTTTCAAGAATTTTAGCTTGATTCTTCACGAATACTTGTGACGAATAAACACCTTCGGAGGATCCGTCTTTATATCATATACAGGGGTGGAAAAATAGTACGGATTTTTCGGTATTTTTTAAGACATCCTGTGGAGTGAATCAAGGACAATTTACACCAGTTTGTATCACAAAATTGTAGCCTGTTCTTTTCCGAACATTTCCTTTATGTATTCATACTGATAACTCCATCATTCAAGATAATACAGAATTTGAAAGAAAAGGTGGAGATTGGTCTCACCACCTTCTATCACCTCGAAAATCGAATTGTATCCGAAAATGTGTCATTTCTCAAGTTGTTTCTTTGAAAATGCCTTCATTCAATAATAACGCGTGTGACCTCTACGCACCCTTATTACAGCAGTCATCCGTTTCCTCATGCTTTCGATGACATTATCAATCATTTTTTGGGGAAGATTATCTTATCCCCTGTTCGAGTGTAGAGGACGGTGAAATTGAGATCAATATCCACATTTCATTAAAAACTATGGATTCTGTAATAATTGAGATATCAAAATGAATAAAAAATGAAAATATTCAGATTAGAGTGGGCCACAATTTGGTGTTGAGAAATCGTTTCGATTATCAGTGGTTCACTCCACAGGATGTCTTGAAAAATACCGAAAAATCCGTACATTATTCATACATCTCTGTATGATATGAAGACGAATCGTTTGAGGATGGTTATTTGTCAGATGTATTGGTGAAGAATCAAGCTACAATACTTGGGAACGAAAAATTCAATCCAGCGATGGGTTCATGAAAAAATTGATGTCAAACTTAGTGAAAATTTTGCCCGTTCCCCTAATTGTGCTGGTGTGTGTAGTTGATCAAAAGTTGAGATAGGGACATGTGAGCCGTTTTGACCGATAATGAATAGTTTCGACACAAAAGAATCCTAAAGTTGAAAAATCTCGATTTTAAACACCCTATATCTCTGTTGAATCATTTTTGATCGACCCCAAGTGTGATACTTCGATGAATTTAACTCTTCAGGGAGAATCTACCCCTGTATCTTACGTAATCGTTGGGTATAAGGATCCTGAAATTTGCTAGGGCGAGAGATATATCAAAAATGCACACTATGACCAAGTGGGCGGTCATCTTCAGTGATATACAATGCTCGCCAACAGCCATGGAACTATCCCGATTTCCGGAAAATAATATTGGTAGTCAAAATAGGTCGAAAATCACTCCAGATTCGGAATCAGGACACATAATTCACTAACTGTTCATATTTTTCCTGGAAAATTTTCAGTTCTGAAAAATTAAATTTTGTCGCACCTTTTATACGTATCACCCCATCTTACGTAATTGACTTCATCTTTGGACTTTTCCTTTCTCCTGCAAATTTCAAAACCCTACCTCAATAATTACGTGAGATACGGGGATGCTTCCATGAGAAGTGAGACAAAATTTAATTTTTCTGAACTGAAAATGTTCTAGGAAAACTATTTTGACTCCTAATATCATTTTCCGGAAATTGGGGTGGTTATCCACGAGGGGTAAATCTCCTTGGAAGTCTGGTGTACACTCCGTTGGAAGTCTTTGGTAGTCTTTGGATGTCTCTGGAAGTCTTTGGAAATATTTGGGAGTCTTTGGAAGTATCTGGAAGTCTTCGGAAGTCTATGTTAATTGGAAGTC